AACGCGGATTAAGTTATTTTGAAATTTTTAAATAATTTAGATTTAGACATCAGTAAGTGTCAGGGAAAGAGTTATGACAATGCATTTAATGTCAAGTAAACATAAGGAACACCAATCCAGAATAAAACAACAAATTTTTCTCTCCCCATTTTATCATCATCACAGGTGTTCCTGTGGTTAGCTTTTTAGCAATCGTATTTTCTGGCATTCGTATTATGTATCCAGCCCATCTAAGTCGCTGTGTTTTAATGAACGTTATGACATCTGGCTCATCAAAGAGCTGATAAAATTCAAAATTATATCTTCTGCGCCACTGCCCTTGGTCGTTTATAGTTCCAAATATTTTGCGGAGTATTTCACGCTCAAATATTCACAAAAGTCTTTCATTTTTCTGCGTTAGAGTCCATGTTTTTGCTCCATATGTGAGGCCTCAACAATGTTTTGAATATAATAATTTTAGTTCTTCTTTGAATGTTTATTGGGTGGAAATGCTTTTGGAGTCCATAGTATTCCCTATTTGTAAGATTTATTCGTCTTTTGATTTCTTCGCTTGTTTTATTGGTAGCAGTTGATAGCGACTCAAGGTATGTGAAGTTGTCAACACATCCAAAGGTATGACTTCCAAAGACTGTTTCTCGTTCCTCATTTGCTATCGGATCCTTTGTAACCAACATGTACTTGGTTTCGTCTTTGTTGATGACTAGACTGACCTGTTTCGCCTCTGTTTCCAATGCTAGGAGATATTGCTCAACATCTCGCTTGCTATGCCCTATTATGTCATTCTCCATGGCAATGAACCTGTAAACTGCAAGACTCACATTTTCCAGAAGAAATTTGATGTTATAGGATAATTTATGGGCCAAATTGAATACAACAGCATTTTTTCCAAAACAAATCAAGGAAGTTCGAAAAGTTTGGCAAGCAGTAAATGGCTGGTAAGAAATTCATCAAACGAAAATTTATGCCCAGTTAGATTATTTTTTAAACTAATGTTTGTAATTTTTGAAGTTAGACAGACTCTTTCTTACCGTTCACCCTACTGGGAGGATGGATCTTGGTTCAAAAACTGTCCACTTGGAACCAACATCGTATCTAAGTAGAGAAAAATGGCAGCTGAAAAAATTGGAATAGACACAAAAAAAAATAACAAACCATTCTCATCGATCTTCAGCTGTATCAGCATTGTTCAAGCAAAGTGTTTCTGAACGGGAGTTAATTAAATTAACAGGTCACTCAAATGCAAGATGTCTAAAACCATATCTGCAACTGGATTCCAGTCACCACCAGAAGTTAATCGAAAATCTCAGAACAACAAATAAAGCTGGAACTTCGAGTTCCCAAATGCTACAGGTCAATAATACACAAAATCATGCTTTGGTACAAAAGAATGGGCAAACTAATAACTTATAATAATTGTACTAATTTAATATTGTAAATATTAAGTAAATGGATGCCGTATATAAATAAATAAATAAATAAATAAATAAATAAATAAATAAATAAATAAATAAATAAAGATTATGTTTTGTGCATTAATTGTCCCGTGAAATAGTGTTGTCGAATATCATTTGAGAAAAAATTATTTATAGCCAAATTTTCTTCTGGTTTTATTCAAGTTTGCTACCTTTTGGCAATTTCCGCTTATGAGAATTTTGGCAAAATCACTCAACTGACGTCTCATGATTGAACTGTCAAAATTGAATTCACGAAAATTGCCAGGCAACAAACTTTCATACCAGTCGAAAAAATTGCTGGTAAAATTTTCTCTCTTCTGGTATTATATACGAGAATAAATGTTTCAAACAAGACTTCAATAAAAATCCCTAAATATGACGAATCCCTAAATACATCAGTTTCAATATATGATTGATTCATTGATAGATTTTCATACAAACTGTTAAAAGATGATTTTAACAATTTAGAAAAAGAAGCAGAAACAATTAATAAAGATATTGCATATACTAACGATAAAAAACGGCAGAAAATATTATAATGAAATTCCAGAACGTGAAAAAAGATTTAGTGGCAAAGAACATTTTGAAGTGAATATATTTTTTGTTGTATGTGATTCTTTAATTAGCAACATTAAAAAAAAATAAATTTTTCATGAAGTAAACATACTATATGCTTTGAAAACAAACTATGAAACATAAAGTATGTGTCATGACTGAAAAATAGACCCAGAATGTTGCCTAGGCCCACTTTAGCCTCAGTCCAACAATGATCACACATGTTGTAGTTTCTTCTTAGTAATTATAAATAAATTAAAATGTTTGCAAAATACATGTATTTATAATGTAGTTGAAAAAGTTATAAATATATAGAGGTAATGAAACATCTTTCACAAAAATGTAATTTGTACACAATAAACTCCATGTCTGCAAAATGAGTCACTAAATTAAATAAAAACCTATAAAACCGCAAAGACATTAAACATAATACTTTATCATAAGTACTAACACTACAAATTGATAGAAAAATCTCAAATGTATTAAGGTAAATGTACTAGTAGTTGACATTATAAGAAGAAAAAAAAACATTATTTAGCCTCAAACCGATGTAGTTGAACTTAAATAAAAAATATATGTATATTCAGGTAATCTAATCCTTCCTGAATATTTAACAAATAAATTTTTGGACAATTCTGCTTTCTAAATATTTTTTATAAAATTTACAAAAATTGTTGCAAAAGTGTCAGTAGTTGACACAACAAAATGAAAAAAAATTAGTAGTTGACACATCCAAGGTTTAGTAATTGACACCCAAATATGTTTTGATAACTTTATTAAGAATATGTAATTACAGGAGAATTTTAATGTTAGCCATCCACATCCACTGAATCTGGAAACTGATACTTTATTCTTTCTCCTGAAATGAGTATCTGAGGTTGGGGCATCTTTTTTAGGATTTGATGAAATGTTATTACGCTCACATCATTTCTACTGCTACCAGATACAACCTATGATTCATTATTATCACTTGATGATTCTTCGTTTTTCTTACTTACTTTTTTTTTCGTCACTTTCAGTTTCTGTTTTTTAACAAAGTTTTTTTCTTCTCTTTTCTTTTGTCTCTCTTCTGCTCTTTTCTGTTTTTCTTCAAGAAGCTTGATCTTCTTATTTTCTTTATTTTCATGATAAGTTTGCCATTCTTTTGAACTAGCCACAGAAGGAACTTTTTCACTCTTCTTTTTTTTACTGCGGATACTCTGGGTTCAGGCCAAAACAGTATTTGTTTAAAAGGAGAGGGTATAATTTCATTTGATGTAGAAGGTGTAGGTAATTCTTCAATTGCTGAAGATGGAACTTGTGATTCTGTTAATGAAGAAGCACAAGTGTCTTGAATAATAGCAATATTGTTTTGTTGAAGATTTTTCCTAGTGAGACTAGTGTGACCTTCCAAAACATCCGAAATGTTTCTACCTGTTTCAGCCTCAGATTGGTTTAATAACTCACCTATTTCATACTGTTCTTCGACTGGCTTATCAGGTTTGTTCTCTATGTAAATGTCTTCAACATTAGGGCTGTCTTCAACATTTGGTATGTCCTCAATATAAGTGGCATCTTCAATAATATTGTCTTCATCATCTGGTTCTTTCGCACCTTGTTTCGCTTTCAAATTGTTTATTTCTTCTTCTAAAAGACTGTATTTCATGCAAATGTTTTTGTAAAAGTGAAAGAGAGATAAATCTTCATTGTCATTGTTCCATTCTAGGCTTGTTTTGAAAAGAGCTAGTTTTTGTTTATCAATATGTTTCTCTATAAAGTTTTTCCCTTGTTTCATTTCCTGCAATTCCTGCATTTTCTTTGAAATGTCTATTTTCTCATTGTGAAACATAATCGCACCAACATCACAGGGAACTAAGCCACATTTTCGGAAACCATTTTTTAAAATTGATGGTACTAAACCTTTCCTCTAGAACTTTTTTCAAAAGAGGACAGAAGTGAATTTTCCTTAAAACTGGAGAAGCCTGATTCTCAATCCGCCACTGGTGTACTGCATCTTTCCAACCCCCTTTCAAAGAACGAAATACAGCAACATCCATTGGCTGAAGCAAATGTGTTGCATTTGGATGAAGGGCTACCAATATAATACCACGTTCAGTGCAAAATCTACTAGTGTGTAATGTTAAATGTTGCTGAAACTGGCTTTCCACATAGAACTTCCTCAATAGCTTTCTCCATAGCTTCTTCTGTATATTGGAACATTTGTCCTTTTATAGATGGCATATTTTTAACTGAAATTTAAAATTTTTGTTTTAGTAGTTGACATCCAAAGTGTTTCAATAGTTGACATAATGTCAACTACTAGATAGAGTGGATACATTTACGTGATATTTAAAATATAAGTGTACACATTATATACAATGAAAATAACAATAAAATATTGAGTTTTTACAGTCTCAGTATAAATGGTTAGTAGTTGACACCTATGTCAACTACTAGTATTTTTGTGTATTTGTGAGTTAGTAATTGACACCTAGCCTAATTTTTGTTTTGAGAATAAAACAAAACTTAAAACATTAGCAAGATGTTACCTTAATATTCATATAATATATTGATATATCTAAAACTACAGTCATTAGCAATTTAATCAATAAATATTAATTTTTTTAAACTTACCTTCTTAATACTTTTGTTTAGAAAACTTGTTGCCACTTGAAGCTCACACAACACTCTGACAAACATTTGGTGGGAATTTTCTGTTTCAAAGTTAAATAATTCTACAGTTACAGAGAAGATGTATAGATGACACTAGTTAACTATGATGGTAATAATTACATTAAAAATAATTGGAAAAGCTTATTATTTATGCTTAAAGTGGAAAATGTCAACTACTGGTACAGTGTCAAGTACTAGTGCATTTACCTTAAGAAATTATTATGGTAACCTCATTTGTCTTCTATATTTTAAATAAAATATTCCAAAATATTTAAAAAAGAAATGCATTAGTAATCACTGTGACCTAACAGTTTAATTATTAAGAACATAAAAGGATACAAATCTCGCTAAACTGATGGTGAGCTGTCGAGCCTGCAATTATTTTTATAGCTACAAAATGATCTTGTTCTAGCTTTTCTCCGAGTTCGCCATTATTGATAAGGTCTGTTATTTTTTGTGACTTTTCGTCAGTACCTGATGACAAAAAAGATCGTTAATAATAGCAAAAAGTTACGTGAACGATTTAAATATACCTTCAATATACACTACAAAAACCGCTCCTTTAGATTTAGAAAAAGTAACCGCATCAGCTATTTCTCCACTGTACCACTTCATTTTATAAAAATACGTTAGTTTAGATTGTTATAACAATAAAATACTAGCAGACTTCTAACAATTAAAAAAGTACACATCAGTGTTATCGCAACTACAAACACAAAATACAATGAAATACAATTTTAAACGTCACCGTCACCGGTCACAATGGAACATCTCTGTCTGTCTGTCACTGTCACTGATTATATAGAATGAATGAATCTTCTCTTCCTGCGTCGACTGTGTTAATATATGTACTGAACCACAAAAATGTAACAATTTTGAAGACTTCTTTTTCTTATGTAAAATATATTGTAAAAATTATCAATAATTCACTCATATATAAAATTTATCCTGCCTTATTTGACTCCTAGAACATTATTCGAAATCTTAATGTTGTAAAAAAAAAATTATTAAAACTAAAGTAGTCTACGATTTAGAAGTTTTCTCAAACTGTATATCGATAGGTTCCATATATTTCAAGTTTCGTAATGTGTCACTTTAGCAATACACAAATTGCTTTCATATTACCATATAGCTCTTACACAGAGATATTTTAAACACAATTTACGCTCCATTATTATTGATTATTGTCTACGTTTGTTTCGTAGTATTTTTCTTCTTTTCCCAGTTCGTTTACTCCAAAATATTCCATTTAGGTACTTTGAGTCGCCTTATTTTATTTTCCCATTCGTTCCGTCTATTGAAATTCACACCTTAATGTTATACTCTTCGAAACTAGATATTGCTAGATATTAATTATGAATAGGAACACTTATTGAAACATCAGCTTATGAGACCATAGGCAAAAAAAAAAGAAACTGAGAAGAAAGAAAGAATTAGGAAAAGGGAAACAAGTTAAAAAAGAACTAATTGAAAACATAGATAAACCGAAGAATAACACTTGCACACAGAAGTTACTATAGACTTATTAAACACCTTATAAACCTTCGAGTCTCTTTAGTGATGTTTCAGTTAGGGGCTAGGGTTCATGATTACACTCCTTAGAGAATAACGAAGAATACGTAGTACTTTAGTAAACGACCTTTTATTTACAATTTTATAAAGATTTTTTTCATTTTGACGTAACATGATCTTTATCTTAATTTTCTTTGAATGTTCCCACTATGCTTTAAATTTGCACCTAAATACCAAAAGTTTGTAGAATTTTCTCAGTATAATTGCTATTTTTACTTATAACCATATATTTTGTTTATTTTATGTTAAAATCAAGCCCAAACCTGCTATTTACCTATACTATCCTGGAGACAAGCATCTACTAACCTCCAGACTGTCTGCAAAAATGACAGTATCATCAGCGTATCGTATGTTGTCCAGTCATTCTTTATTTATAAGTATTCCCTCGTCTTTATAAGTTACCACTAGGTTCATAATGGAAACAGTTTGTCGCACACCTCTAGGTACAAGGTATGTCCTTCTTTTAGTGCGTATTCTTTCCAATATTGGCGATCATTCTGGCTATAATTATTTTATTAACTGATGCTTTAAATAGATTAGTTGTTGTTGTAGAGAATCTTTTCCTCAGGTTTTTAACCGTGATATTCTTCTCCCAATTCCTCGCTTTACAAATACTTTGCTTTGAAGGAATATTTTCAGTAATCTGTATTTAGTGTCGTGTCTCATTATGTATCCGAAATATTCTAACTTTCTCCTTTTAATAGTATACATCACTTCTCTTTCTTTCCCCATTCTTAGTAGTACAGTCTCGTTGGTTATCTTGTCCGTCGATGATATCCTTAGAATTCTTGTGTATAGCCACATCTCGAAGGCTTCAAGTTTTTCTCCTTCGCTTCAGTGAGTGATCAAGATACAAACTCCGTGGTACAATATCGAGAAGATACATTCTTATTCCGTATTAACCTTTTACTTCTCCAGTATTGTTTGTCTGTTATAAATGTCTCGATGGGTTCTTAGAAGAGAAGCGAGAGACCTTTTATATTCCTTTGAGACTTTCATCTCTTATTTTCGTGTTAGGGATAGCATTGGTATTTGTCTAACCATAAAAATCTATATCTACTGAAATTGACTAAATGACGAAAGTATATGCCATTAAACTACATCATGTAATTAGTCAAAACAGGTTTTTGGTTTCCTATTTTGTATAATTCGTACTTATACAGCTCTTGATATTCTACACATTACACCTCCTTTCTATGATTCGGTTTCTCTCAATGACCATTGAGTAAGCTACTAATCCTGTGTCGTATCCTAAAAAAGCATGGAGAAACAGCAAGTTCTCTGCAATGACGTCGCCATATATAAATCTTGAAAGACAGTATAATTGATGCGACGTACACCCTATTGAACACTTCGGACACACAACATTGGACTGCTCCCGTCCCAATGCCCGGAGCAAGACAAGAAAGTCAATATCCTTTGCTACGAAAGTCTCAGAATCATAGGCTTGGAATGCAGCAAGAGCAGAACGGATTAGGACTCTATCTGCATCAGATTCAGCCTGATCGACACTAAAACCCACTTCTGATAGAGCAGTTTTATTAAGTCTGTTTTGTTCTTTTTATTACCAAAAAACTTGTCTTGGAATAATATTGACGGTAATAGACTTTATCTTCGTCCATTTGTGCTTTTTCGTGCGACGCAAGCGCACGTGGTGCAGTAAGTTTTGTGAGAATGGGTCGATAATAAATTACAAACATACAAAAGTATAGACCAAATATAGCACTTAACCATTTTGTCTTAGTTCTAAACTGAGATGATTATTGCAGAGATATCTTCATTTTCAAAAAAGTAATTTTAGTCATTGCTATTGTTTTCTTTATGTCTGGCTCTAGTTGGTCCGTTATGACAGTTGTCACAATATATAATTTTGTGAACCTTTTAATGTAAGTCCTATATCTTGATGTGGGCTTTGTTTGAGTTCCATTTCTTCTCCTATTTCGTGAATATGATCAGAATTTGGAGATCTTCAATGTTTTCCGACAAAATTGTTGTATCGTCCGAGTATCTAATTATATTGTAGTTCCCCGTTGATTTGTATTCCGTATGGTTGTTTCTCAAGTGCCCTTTTAAATAATTGTGGACATTAAACAATGTTGGGGAGAAAATGCAACCTTGTCAAACTCCTCGTTGTATGTGGATTTGGTCGGAGTTATCTTCAATTTTTACGATAGCAGTTTGATTCCAGTATATATTTTTAGTGACACGATATCTTTGTCATGTACTTCTATGTTTTAGCATCTGCATTACTGTTAACTTTATCGAAGTCTATGAAGCATGCAAACACATCTTTTTTTGATCATGACATGTTTGTAATAGAATACTTAGCACAAAAAGTGCCTCCCTAGTTTTCCCATAGCATTTATAAAACCAAACTGGATATCTCCGAGATCTTTGCATTTGCTCTAATTCTGTTCTGTGATTCAAGTCTATTATCCTTTATAGTTTATTCGTCTTCCGGGTTTGGACCGTGTCATTTGTGAGTGACCCAAAAGTGGGTTCATCTCGACGTTTCGCTACAATTGTATGTAGCTTCTTCAGGAGAACAAAGAAAAAGAAAACAAAAGACAGGAAGATGGGTAGTTAGCAACGGTAACTCAGTTACTCAACGCAACGAGAGGCGAATACTAACTACCAAGATGGGCATTTGGTCACAGTAACTCAACTACTCAACGCAGCCAGAGGTGAAAACCAAATGCCATGACAGGGATTCACGTCCAACAGCTCAGAACACTAACGCGTCGATAGGCGGGGAGTGAATCCGACGATTACTCCGCTACCGCTCTATTTATAGTCGCGGTGACCTGTCATGTCGGGACGTATCGGCACACTCCGTGGCGCGAACGTCAAGAAGCGCGCGCTGGCCAATCATGTGGCTGCATCGTGGTAGCGGGACCGGACGGCGGCTCTAGACTGAGATTCCAGATGGGAGACAAGTAGTATCCTTCCTCTCGATTGATATTATGTGGATTTTTTCGGATCTCTAGAGATTCGCGGATTTTCCTGGAATAAAAGAAGGGGCTCTTAGAAATAATATGGGTTTTTTCGAACAATATGGAATGACCGGTTTCTTGGCAGTGTTCTGCAACTGCAGAATGGGAGAAAAGACCTGATCGAATGCATCTTTGATGCTCTTGAATCCGAGTTTTGACGGAACGACCAGTTTCGCCAATATACACATGTCCACATGAACAAGGAATAGAATAGACACCACAGGAAGATAGGGGCGGTAATGGGTCCTTAGGAGAATTGTGAGATTTTCTTGGGTGGTCGAAAAGTAGTCCTGATACCTTCTTTGCGAATAATTTTGCCAATCCTATCAGTGACATTTCGAATATACGAAAGAAAAGCCACAGGAGTATTACCCGAAGATTCTGAATTTGTCGTCCTAGGGTGTAAAGGGGGATATAGATGTCGGTGTGTAATATTTTGAATTGTGGACTTGGAGTAACCGTTGGCGACAAGGGTTTTTTGCAGATGGCCAAGTTCTTCTCTAAGGTTGTCGGGTTCAGAAATCAAAATGGCCCGATGGATGAGAGAGTTGATCACAGAATTCTTATGGGCAGGATGGTGGTGTGATGACTGTCGTCCCGACACGACAGGTCACCGCGACTATAAATAGAGCGGTAGGGGAGTAATCGTCGGATTCACTCCCCGCCTCTCGACGCGTTAGTGTTCTGAGCTGTTGGACGTGAATCCCTGTCCTGGCATTTGGTTTTCACCTCTGGCTGCGTTGAGTAGTTGAGTTACTGTGACCAAATGCCCATTTTGGTAGTTAGTATTCGCCTCTGGTTGCGTTGAGTAACTGAGTTACCGTTGGTAACTACCCATCTTCCTGTCTTTTGTTTTCTTTTTCTTTGTTCTCCTGAAGAAGCTACATACAATTGTAGCGAAACGTCGAGATGAACCCACTTTTGGGTTACTCACAAATGACACGGTCCAAACCCGGAAGACGAATAAACTATAATTCTGACTCTGGCCGTGGAAGCCTACGATTTCATCTATTATCCTTTTTATAGATTTGTTGGTAGCAAGGAAAACAAAAAATAAATAAAAACACTCACATGGTAAAATATTTTATTCCATATTTTTACACGAAATCATACATGTTTATAAATATTTATTTAACGAAAAATAATACAAAAATAACTAAAGTAGGCTGCAGAGATTGCACATTATCAGTCTCTAAGAATAGAAAAATCTATAATCTTAATTAAAGAAACTCAGATCATTTAATCATGTTAATGAGATTGTACACTTATTCGAAATGACATTATAAATATTGAAATACATTTAATACTGAACGCTGTTTTAATCACTATTGACTGATTTGTCCAGCATTATTTTATTTTAGAGTTTTTATATAAGTTTAACATAGATAGACAGTGATAATTTTTTAACAGTCCTCAATCACCTCAAAACGTTTTAAAAGGTAACATACTGTTATAAAAACAATAGGAATATTTTTATGATACATGTTTTGAGCAGTCAAATGGCATGTGTCAAACCATATATCAAAAAGTTAGGTTACGTTATGTGAAGTAGGTATAATTTTAAGTAAAGGAGACCAAGACACCACGGTACGTACAATTATAGTCTCATTAACACGATTAATTACATCATCAAACATTTGTAGGTTTTTTAAAAACTGTACTGCTCATTAAAAATATTTCTAACTAACTTATCAAAATTACTGTACAATATATACAAAAAGCATTCATAGAACACAAAAATTAGAAGAAATTCTTCAATACCAAGGTTAATTTGGATAAAGATGAAAATATAATATAACGATTCTTTAAACGAACTTAAAAAAATAAATCACAAAATGTAATAAAAAGTATTAACGAATCAGTCAACTGATTCGATTTAATAAGTTAAATATGAGTGTCACATTGTGTTATTCTAATTCTCGTAGAGTTTTGATTCATTGTGCCTTTGAGCTTTGGTCTACACATTAAAGGTGTGCACCTCTTTTAAATGGTAAAAAATCGTAGTATGTTTAGCCTAAATTAACGGTATAAAGTATCTATTCAGTCAATAATATTTATAGTGTAAACTATGATAACTATTCAATTGCATAGTTGAATAAAATGTCGGTAGGTGTCGTTAACTGTTGCACTTCCCTGTAAGTAATATGGTGAGTAAAATAAGGATATCCAACAAAGTCGTTCCAGATTAGATTTGCATTGAAGAAAACCGATGAACTAAATGAAAATCCTTCATCTTTAAGATCCTTATGCAACTGACTGGGATTCTAATTATCTTGTTGAGGTAAAATAGAGCAGAACTGGATAACTTAACTTGCAGTAAAATGTAAATCATGTTTTGCTTGTCTTGCTCTTCTTTTTAGAAAAGTAGGAACAAGCGAGGAGATGAAACCCAAATAACAAGGAAAATAGCTATTTTGAGAGGTGCCACAAATAAAAAAATTGTTAAAGTTGTTACGATATGAATTGGGAAAGAACAATTTTTGGGGTTTGGTCATTAATTCTACGGCGAACATAGAAATAAAGATAATTCTTTGTAATTCTAATTATTGATTACTCCTGGTATTAGTCCAAATGGATATTGGTGTGGCTTATTACTTTGAACGTATCTTATTGGGTAATACTGAAATGTAATTGGTCAAATTTTTCGGAAGTGCAGACACTGAAACCAAATATGGCTTTGCCGTTATCAGGTAAAAATTGCTTCTCATGTTTCAAAGGCGGCAAGCATTATAATAAACACAATAACAGTGTCGTAGTGATAAACTTATTTTATTTTAAACTTATTATATAAATTGTAGTCTCATTTTTTAGTTCTCAAATTAATAAGCACATTACATTTCATTTGCATTGTGTATGTATATACTTTTAATCAACAATTTTAAATTTCAATAAAAGTTAAGAAATTTTTAGGGTCCAGTCCCGAATAATTCAGAAATATAAACATTATTTGTAATTGATCACTAACGGTATTGTCCACATTGCAGCTGTGGTTTATTACTTTCTACGTATCTTATCGGACACTAAGTGTAATTAGTCATATTCTTCGGAACTTATTACGCTCAAACTTGATCGTTATCTGGTCAAAAATGCCTTTTCAGCTTTCTCATACAACGATATATTCAGTATCGTCGTGTACAACAGCATGTTCACGTATATTTTTAATATTTTTGTGCAAACAGTAGTGTTGTGTTTTAGTTAAGTTTGAGTTAAGACAGTAGAAAATAAATTGTAAATACATTAAAGATGGCTTTTTGGCGACCATTTGAATGTGATACCAACGAGAGTACTAACGGCAATCCAACGGACGATTTAGGTATGTAAATTCTTATTTAAAACTAGTTTAATAATTAGTTGTATAGGGATGCTCGGTCATAATATTCACCCTTAATCTACTTTTTTTAACAATTAAAAGTATTTAGATCCAACACCAATCAATTGGGAATTTGTAAATAAGGACTTACATATTCAAGCGCAAAGGATTATTCTAAATATATATATTCCTGTTTAAGAGGCGAAAATAGTACACTTTCGAAAAATAATATTGTGTTAAGGATATGTCAACTTACCAAACTTGCGCGTACGACAGTTTTACGTGTTATTGCAGCTGGGGATGTAAGTGATCATTCTGTTAAACGTCGAAGAGTTGGACAAAACCTTAAAAAGATTTATAAGGCCACTATAATTGTATGCCAAATTTCATGTCAATCCCAGTGGTTCTTTAAAATTTAGAGGTTTTTACAATATTTTACCGTTAGTGAATGGACTATGTGTATTAACTTTTAATCATCTTTGGTATCAAGTTCATAAAGAAATGTGAATAATTAACAATATTATTACTGTTTAACAAAATATTACACCTTAATTTAAAAATAAGTTTATTATTTAATTTCTATTGCGCCGCCTATGTTTTACAAAGACGCCGACACTTGAGTGTCGAATTTTGCTTTTATACTTGTCCAACTGACATCGTAGAAACTTTATTAGTTTACTAGAACAAAAATGAAGTTATTTGTTTAGATTTGTGAGTATATAAAAAGGTGAAAATAGATAGTCCTTTTATACAAAATTTTCCATAGAATATTCAGTGTTTGCAAAGGAAACAAGGAAAGGAAGAAAATTTGCGAGTCTAAGAGTCACAGGAATCACGCGAGGTAGATAACCAGCAAAACATCTGAACCTGGGTTGTTCTCCAAAGAGGTGTAATAATAACCTAAACGATGAAGAGACACAATAAATAAAATAAATAGGGAAAAGGTTTGCACTTTGGAAGTGAAAAAAATGTCTTTGATATATTCATAATTCTATGTGCAACTTTTTTTAAAATTTAACAACTATATCTATTATATCAAGCACGGTGCTTCAAGTCCAGGATATGTGGACCATTCTTTATACACTGGAATACTGGTATAGTTACACAATGTGACACGGTCATATACAAGTAAAAAATTCTCGACGTATTATTACCAGTTTCACGAATTGAAAAACTAATATTTTTAACTGGATATAACACACTTTTTTTACCTGATTACCAGGGAATTATAATGGTAGATCAATTACTGATATCTTTTCAAGGATTCAATACAAAATTACGATTTTTGCGGACTATTTAGTTGTTTATTAACATTATTTTGGGGCTTCGGTATACTTCTGATAGGCCCTAGAGAAATCATCGTCGTCGAACCTATACTTGAGAGATTAGCTGGGTTTCTGCTATTAATAATAGGTACCGCAAACGTCCCATCAGCTGTATTTTGAGACGGTAAAGGAATATAATTACATATACCCAGATTTGACAGCTTTTGCATGACACCGGGAGTTTTCAAATTGATGACTGGTATACCCAATTCTGCCATGCCACTTGTGGTCTTGTGGTAGGTTTGTCTATGTTTGTTGAGGCCGACCGAATTAGGATATTGAGCGGGGCATAGGTCACACCGGAAAGGTAGGCCCGGCCGTTGTTTCTGGGGCGATGAAGCTGCTGGTGGTGTTGGAGAATCGTCCGTTAAGTCTACTGTTGGTAATGATTCCGTCACTGCGGGCTGAAATTGAAAATATATTCTGAATTATTATTGAATAAAGTAAATAATTTATTTTTAAACAATTAATCAACATTCATATTGTATTTATTGGGTTTTAGTAAACCAACAGAGTATAAAGAAAATGATGAAAAGGTTGCCAAAGTCAGTCCATAATACTGATGTATAGGGAGATAGTCAATTCTGACAATCTTACAATATATGCCTCGAAACCGCTAGTCAAGCAACGTTGTTTCATCCGTACAAGAAGCTCACTACAACTAAGATGATACATAGATCGAAGATTTTTTTCAACAGCAATTGTCTGAAAATAAACCTACCTTCTTATACATCATCTCATGATACTATAAACTACAGATAAACCCACGCGCACGCGATCAGTCGTGTGACGTCACTTGGCGACAAATGTCACCAGAAATGTTCTGTGTTGTATGGAGTTTTGTCAGATTTAGTATTGCTTTATCGTTTATCTTGTACATTGACATCGGTTTACTGGGTAAACCATCTTTCCGAAGGAGGTTTACTTAAACCATATCCAGATTTTCTAATTAAATGTAATGAACTGGACCATATTTTTAACAATTTTAACAAAGGGTCATTAAAATTAACCAAGAATTATTTAAAATCGCTAATGGATTTAGCTGTGTTCAGATGTAATGTTAATAAAGGTGTAAATTATATTTTAAAATTAGAAAATTGAATAGATATATTAAAGAAACATCCAAAGTTAAGAAGAAGAAAATATTAAAAATTGTAAAATAAATTGTTAAATAAACTTGTAAATTATTACAGTGTATTTTATTTTATCAGTTTTATTAAATTTTTATTTTAATAAATCAATCCATTGTATATAAATTTCCATTTGCAAAAGGATGTTTAGTTCTTACTTTTTTATATAATTTTAGTTTACATTGCTAGGCTAACAGAGATGTATATATATAACATATTTTTAAGATTTAATTGCAGATATTTTACCTAACATCCCTTAATATTCTAAATATTTAAATAAAAACCCTCTCTTTCCATATATGTGTTACCGACTGTGATGATAAAAGGTTGGTGATAAAAGTGAAAGTTATCACCAATTGACGTCATGCGCGTCGATGTACAAAATTCGATTGCGAAGTGGGTTTATCTTGGAAGTCTTAGTATCATGACATCATCTCAAACTAGCAACTATTAGCGACGTGCAAGTACTTGGATGTGATACGAGAAACGATCGTGCGCGAGTGGCGGAGAAATCTTGCATTTTTACTGCAAATTTCATAGATTTCATAAATTCATATTGTCAATTGTCATATTTTATATTTGTTTATTTACACCTTCTGTAACTGAAGAAAATGGGATTTAGGAAATTCTGTGTTATAAATTGTAAAAATACAACAAGAAATTGTCAATTTAAGTTTTATTCGTTTCCAACTTCGAAGCACAAATTACTACAAAGAGAAAAGTGGATTTATATAATAAAAAAGCATAAGTAACATAACCTAAATTATGCATTATTCTTGCGCCCGATTTTAAAGACAGTTTGAAATAAATAATAAATAAAAGTTCACTTTTAAGTGTAAATTTTAGTTTCATAACACTCACTTAAGAGTTCATTTTAACCTAAAAATCAAGTTTAATGTTTAAATTTTATTTTTCTGAAGTTTACAAAAATGCATCAAGTTCAAGTTTTTCTGAAGATGCATTAAGATATATTCGCTGTCCAAAAGTTTACAGGGAAAGAATTAATTGTTCAAACCAATATGATGATATCATGGGCTTAACCTGCTAATTTATGCATTTATGCATTACCATTATTTATGGTAATTTATTTTTCTTAATTCTTCCATTCTTTTTTGACATTTGCCACTACTAAAGCTTTTCCATTTGACTCAGTGCTTGGTTAAAAAGTTATTTGGTGATTTACTTTCTCAAACCCAGTTTTTATTATTGCATCCGTATTAACATTAATGCTGTAATTTAATAATATATTTATTTGTATTTACACTACATACAACGTTTACATTTTAATAACATACCGACATAACCTCAATCTTACTTTTTCTTCTTATTCTTTTTTGGGGCTACGTCCTTGACAGTTATCCGGTAACCTCGATCTAACATGAAAGCGCAGTAAATTTTGCTGATTTACGACACCAGGTGGCGCTATTCTGAACTTGCACGGTCCCAATAGTATAACCCACAGTTAGAACGCAGTGTTGATCCTTGTCTCCACGATATGATCTTTTCTTTCCATCATTCTCGAATCTCGACCTCTTTACCATATTTAAAATAGCCCATGTCATTTAGTAGCCTACGAAATGTGGTTTTTGAAAATACAAGTAGGATCTCATCATCCTTCACTCTGTTGAGTATGCTGTCGACGGTTGGTAGTATGTTTTTTTTCTTCTGAAAAATGGCTTTGGCAGAACCAATCAGCCAGACGTGTTTGTGTTTATTGTTAAAAACGACTGAATTTTAATTATTATTGATTGCAGATTCATAGTCAAAATTTTCTTGTTAACAGTTATCAATGTTAGTACTACATATACCTATTATTTTTGTGGATTCATAAATTTTGTTTTGATATACTTTTTTGTTTTTTTATTCTTTTATTATCTTCTTGATTTTTTTTTTTTTGTTTTGTTGCTTTTTTCTGTTCTTTTTTTTTGTTTTTTGTGTTTTTTAAATATTTTTTTTGTTCTATTTCTATTTTCTTAATTCTTTTATGTTTTTTTTTATTAATTTGTGGTATTTTCATGTACATTTTTTTTGGTTTTTTTTTCAAACCATATTAACAGATTATGCCTATATACTATAGGCATAATCTTTTATATAACTTGTATTTATATTATTTGAAAATATTAAAAGATTAAGGATTATTGGAAAACAACAGTTAGAATTTATTAATTCCTTATAAAGATCATTTATGTTATTAATTTGTAAATCACATTCTAATATATGTGTAAGGTCGCCTATTTTGCCACAAGTACAATGGGGAGTATTTGATAAGCCGATTGCATGCATGTAAAATGGCTTAAGATCATGATATGCTCTCAGCCGATTAATGGTCTTTATAAAATGTCGATTAGATTCTGTGTAAAACCCTCTTCTTGAGGGTACCCTAGGGTTACAATGATAAAAGTTTAAGCCAGTATTACATTCTCTGTAATGTAGATGCCAATTATTTTTAAGTTTTTGTCTACCAACTCTGTCAATAACTGTCGCTAAAATTAAATTTTTGTTTACTATTTCTCCAAGCATATATATTCAGCCATATATTTAGGCTGATTTAGCCAAATTTTCAACGATCTCATTGCCTTTTATTCCCAAATGGCACTTGATCCGTGTAGTTCTTACATTTAATCCTAATTGTGTAGTTTCATTAAGAATTTTTAGAATTTTCAGTTCAATGTGGTTTATGTGTTTCACTGTTTGAATGGTGTTAAATCCGTCGACCACGCTTAACTGTCAGTAAATATAACATAGTTGCTAGTCGGATTCAGTACTACATACTGAAGAGCAAACATTATTGCCATCATTTCTGCTTGTGTATTGAGCATTTACTGGGTAAGCTATACTGGTGACGGTAATTTTTATTTTCGTGGAACATTGCACAGTTCCATTTGTATCTTTTGATCCATCAGTAAAAATGTACTGATAATTTGTCCATTTTTTTTTAAATAATTATATCAAACATATTTCGGAGTAAATGTGAGTTTAAGTAACATATTTTAACCTTTCTAGTAGTAGTAGGGCGAAATTTGGATTTTATAGAGAATATCCATATATTTTACCGTACTTAGATAGTTTTTTAAGAAAGGTATAGATTTTAGTTCTCCAGTACCTATGGGTGAGATCTAAAACTGATAGCTCATGAAAATCTTGAAGGTATTTACAATTTTTTGACATAATTCGGATTGTAAATTTGTCGCTATGGAATTGGCGGTGTAAATGCATTGGAGGTTCCACCGCTTCATTCTCCATTATTTGGACTGGAGTGGATTTTAAATATCCTAGGCATAATCTCAGGCATTTATTTTTTTGAACTTCGAGTTTGTTTAGATCATGGACGTATAAACACAGATGGACTCAGTTATTTACATAAAATTGTGAAGTCAAAATTATTTGAATAGGTCACATCCTCAGCACCTTCAACTGTTGTCACGTTTTGTTTTAAAATTTCTTATTCGCGAGTCGCTGAAAATATTACTCCGTATTTTATACTCTACAGGTGCTATCAAAACAAAATAATAATTTAATAGTTAGATTAATATATTTAATGGTAATCAAAATATAAAGTGTGCACATAGTGTGCATTATCATTTAATAATAGCGTATAATAGATATCAATCAATTATTTTATAATGTAGAAGCACTGAAAACTATTTATAAATAACAACGGTTGTTTACATTTCTCTGTCTTATGGATCTACGTCAAACTTCAAATGCTGTTCCATGTTTGTTTACTTTTTAGTAAAAGTTGTTTTTCGATATTTTGGCTGTATTTTGAGTGATATTTGTGAAAAGTGAAATAAAATAAACGAAATATTTACATCCCGATCTCTCATTTCATTTGCAAGTACATACAATTTACATTATTTAAGATGAGGAAATGAGGAAACGTGTTTGTTTACATTTTAATAGGCGTACCATTGGGTTTATTCATGTTCATTAATGTATTGAATAAGATATAAGTTCATGAAATTAGTAGACATTTTTAAATTGTAAGTAGACATCATCTGATTAAAAAAGATCTGTTTAGTACCTTTTTAATTTAATATTTCTCATGGATGCAAATAAATTAGTGAAACATGGAATAAAACTAATTTATATTTCTATGTAGGTTTCCAAATAATATTGACGATCGAACTATTTTGGTAGCAAATTTAGGAGAAAACATAAAGATTTTTTATTGTAGCATTATTTTGATACCTATTAAAAATCAACTTGAATTCAACTATATTTTATTGTATTAATTTTAAAGCAAATAAAATTATATTTTAATTTTTCTATAAAGACGTGATTTGTTAGTAGTTAAACTCTCGTTTTTTTAAATTCTTTGAACGTGTTTTTATACATTATTACTACTTCCAATTTTTAAAATCTGAATAATAACCCGCGAGTAAAAATTCAAGCACGCTTATGCTCATTGTGGAAGCATCACATTCTATCGAAGCTTCAAAACCATTTTAAAACATTGTGTGTTAAAGGTATCTTATTGCGATGTCTATCTATGTTTATATGTCCATGGTTTAGATGTATATTAGCCACTGATCCAAATAAATGACAGTTATAGTCGAAAATCGGCCTGATCATGTTACGGTAAAACATCAAAGCAATATTTGGGCGTATTCCCCAATTTGTTTTACAGAAAGCTCTTAAAATGTTCATTGAATTTTCTGATTTTTTAACAATTTGATAAAAATGTGATTTTTCCATAATAATTTCCGGTCTAGATAGGTACCAAGATACTTAATACAGTTTTTTAAAGGAAAATTAAATTTTCCCACATTAAGATTGTCTTGTGGAACTCTATGTTTTTGTGAAAAGTAACACACCTCAGATTTTGTTTCAGAAATTGATAATCCTATTTCTTCATAGTACTGATTTACGATTTTTAATGTGACTTTCAAATTATCCTCACAGGTACTTACTTTCTCCCCCGAAAGAAATACATTGCCTATCTTACCTGTACTGCAATTTGACTGTGGCTTCTATTACAGTAAACAACTTTCAGTTTTTATTAAAACAAAGACCTTTATACTGTGGCCTGATAATAGGGCCTATATTATAAGCCTCGAAACCGGTAGCCTACAATTTAATTACAAGAAAAACTACATAAGATTGTGAGAATTATCTCCTATACAACAATATAAAGAAAATGTTTGGTAGTGACCATAGAATGGTTGAGGTAAAACTAGTGATCAATTAAAAAAAAAAGAATGGTAAATGGAAAACGGTATTGTGGACGTCGTACAAAAATTCAAGGGATGCATTGCCACATGAATGCATGAATAAAAAAAGAAATATTGACCTAAAAAGACGGGAAGAGAAAAAATACTGAATGGAAACACAAAGAAGTTAATTAAAAACGAACAGAACTAAGCGAACAGTACTGCAAAAGCTTGTAGAACCAAAAAGAACTAAAAGTGGTACTATAGATACTATGTATAAAAATAACATGTACCAGAGTTGAATAGCTTAAAATATTTTTGTATGCTTTACTCCTATATTAAAAAAAAATACTTACTTTGGCCTGATTTCCATTTGTTTTCGCAGCGGGAATAATACTGACTGCGCCATTTAAATTAATCGGCGTAGGGATTGGTGCGGCTGCTTTAGGCGGAGATTCCTTGACAGTCTCCTTCGGTTTGGCTGTAGCGGTGACAGTTATACCTCTCGTCGCTAAAATGTTTGCTACGGCTTTGGCATCTGATTTTTTGGGACTTTCTGCCTGTTTGGGGGGTGGATTTCGTACGCTTAAAGTTATTGAATCTGAGAGATGCATAATACTGCTTTCGGCTGTTTCAGATGTACCACCCTGAAAGATAGTTTTTTTTTTTAGTTTAAGAGCAAATTCAACAATATCAAAAAAAACAATACTTTATTCAGTTATATATACACTACTAAACAAAAACTAATTACCTGCAGTTGTTAAATTATATATGGGTTGAACTAATGTAAAAGAATATTCCAAAAAGCAACACATTGATCTACAGAAATCAAAACTAAATCCAAAACAATCAGTGACAAAAAAAAGTTAACTATCTTCTTCAATCCAGGCTTCACTTCATCTTTTCAAGAGACGTTTTAAACATCTTCCAATATTCGTTTAGTTAGTCGATTTGTTTGTCGAGTTTGTCAAACAACTACAAAAGGCTATTACATATTTTTATCTACTAAATCTGAATGAGGTAGGTCAATTACATATGGGTAATATTATCTGCTTAAACAGGACACAGTTTCTGAATTATTTGAGGAACGTTTCATGCCTCTTAATTATTTTCAAGAGTGAGTTTGTCGAACAACTACAAAAGGCTATTACATATTTTTATCTACTAAATCTGAATGAGGTAGGTCTATTACATATGGGTAATATTCTCTGCTTAAACAGGACACAGTTTCTGAATTATTTGAGGAACATTTAATGCCTCTTAATTATTTTCAAGAGTATTGCGTCCATGGTTGAACATAGGCTTCCCTTAAAAGTAGCCATTATCTTTTTTTCTGGTCAGCTTGGATTCAATTTGTTCCCACTCTTGTCCGATCATATGCCCAGCGTGTAGGTGATCTCAGGGTGTACCGTTTCTGTGAGTTTTCGATCATCGATTCAATATACAATAGCATTAATTTTTACCACATTTTCAACCCAGTTTGACAATTCAAAGAGAGACAAGACATATGACAAGAAAAAGATAACATCTTCCTGTTTTTAATTATATTAATACCAAGAACCGATCTTTCCATTTTTCTATTTGTTTCATTATGTTACAACAACAGTTTCGACTACACGCCTCATAACAGGCAGCCCATACTTCCCCCAAGTTATCAAGGATTAGAACAATACGTCAACCAAACAATACCAATATGTTGTCTGAGATTAACAATATGTCAGCGAAGTTTAAATGATTAAATTGATGTTCATTGCGTTATTCCAGTTGAGTCTCAAAAGCATGTTCCACAATTGCTGTGAACAGTTTTGTTGGCATGATGTTGCATTGTCGACACCCCTTCTAATATTTCCCTCTTAACAAGTTCTCTCACTTCATCCCACTCATAAGGTCTACAATTTAGATCATGGTTATGTGCTGGCCATGTCATTATTGTGATATATTATAATAGTTGTGATGGAGAGATATCTACGATGGAGAGACAAATGTTGGGTGTATCACTTAGGGATAGAAAACGTAACCAGTGGATCAGAACCAGAACAAAGACAGTAGACGCGATAGAACAAGCAGCAAAACTGAAATGGAAATGGGCTGGACACAATGAACGTCTCCAAGATGGACGATGGAACAATGCCATCGGAAAGTGGCGTCCATACAATGCAAAGAGATCAAGAGGCAGACCACAGATGAGGTGGAAAGATGACATCAGGAAACAAGGAGGTCCCACATGGCAGAGAACAGCTCAAGATAGGGAAAGATGGAGAGAACTGGGGGAGACCTATATCCAACAATGGAAGGATAGAGAATAGGTTCAAAAAAAAAATTATAATAGTTTCATACTACATTAGAACATATGCATTATTAGCATAAAAATCAAATTCAATCAAACGAAGAATGTGGACCTTCTTCTTCTTCTAATGGTGCTACAACCCTTTGTGAGTCTTGGCCTGCTTAACAATGTTCTTCCATTCTGCCCTGTCGGATACTTTCCTTCGCCACTGTCTGATGTTGATGGTTTTAAGATCCCTCTCTACGTCGTCTATCCATATTTTACGGGGCCTTCCTCTTGTTCTGTTTCCTTGGGGCTTCCATCTTTGGACTACTTTTACAGCTCGATTATCTGGCATTCTTTCTAGGTGACCAAGCCAGTTTAGTCTTTGTGACTTTACAAATCTAACAATATCTGCGATCTGCATTAGTTCATCCAGCTCGTGGTTCATTTTAATTCCCCACGAACCATCGCTGCATTGGGTTGGTCCAAATATCTTCCATAATATTTTTCGCTCAAATATTCTCAGTTGATTTTCATCAGTGGTTGAGAGTGTCCACGTTTCACAATATCACCACTGGTATAATTACTGTTTTGTAAATTTTAAGCTTAGACTCACGATTCACGATACAGTAACGTGGATCTTAAAAGTTTTTATTCCAACTCCTCCAATATTTATGCAATCTGAGCAAATTTCTAATATCATCATCAGATCATATCACCTCTGCGTCCATAGGCTACGTTTTCATCCAAAAATATTGTGCATAATATTCATTAATAGATCTGAAAACATGTAATCTTTAATTAAATTTGGGCTCATTTTAGATAAGAAACTTTTTTAATAATAGATTGTTCAATCCAAATCTTTTTTTATGTAACTCATAGAGAGATCTACAATCAGCCCACTAGCAATAAGCAACTTTTTATATGAAGTTGATTGGTGCCATGCAGAGTGAGTCTCTCCAGTTAGTGATCTTTTTTAGAATTTCACTAAACAACGTACTAAAGTGTATATGTGTCTATTGTTCCAGTCGTCAGAGCCAAAAATGACACTGAACAAGCTGAATTTTGCTGAGAATAACCAGCTGTTTGCTCCTTTTGCTTTACAATTTACACAAACATAAGTTTGGTAACAAACATTAAAATACTGACTAGAAATAGCCAGGACAACTAGAAAAACATAAACTCACAAATATCTGAATATTAAACCACATAACTTGAAAGCTGATACAAACTTCAGAAAACAATCAAAGATAAGTATTGATTGTATCGCAGTTTTTTTTGATATTAATAAAGCTTATGATACTGTCTGGCGATACAATATCTTATCAAAGTTGCATAATTGGAATATCAGAGGCAATATGTTAAAATTTATTTCCAATTTTCTTCATTCTCGCAGCTTCATAGTTCGATCAGACAACGCTAACTCAAATAAAAAAGTTCAAAAGAACGGAGTACCACAAGGATCAGTTATAAGCTCAACCCTTTTTCTAATAGCCATAAACGACATACTTCAACAATGCTCACCGATTGTTAAAGGAAAATTATACGCTGATGACTTAGTTTTATTTGCCAAAAGAAAAAACCCTACATCTATTTAAAAACATTTACAACAAACAATTAATCAGTTAGAATCATTGTCTAGGACTATCGGATTACAATTTTCACCGACAAAAACTTAATATATTTTATTCACACGAAAACATAACACTCTAGCTCCACATCTAAAGATATATAATCAAACTCTTAGTTTCACAAATAATATCAGATTTTTAGGTATGGTTTTCGACCAAAAGCTGTCCTGGAAAAAACATACAGAAGAACTTAAAAAATCATGCCAAGCAGGACTAAATTTCATGAAAACTATTTCCAGCAAAAACTGGGGAGCAGATCAAAATACACTATTACATGTATATAAATCTTTAATTAGATCCAAACTCGGCTATGGTGCGATAGTTTATTCATCAAGCAAAGTATCAGTATTGAAAACATTAGAAACTGTTCAAAACACAGCTTTACGAATAGCTACAGGCGCGTTTCGCACGACATCAGTTGAAAGTTTACAATGCTTAACAGGAGAACCACCACTAAGTTTACGACGCAAATACCTTTCTCTCTCATATGCTTCTAAAATAGCTAGTAATAAAGAACACCCTACTTATACCAATACGTTCACAGATCGATTTCAAGACACTTTCTCTACAAGAAGACTAGATCCACTATTTTACGAAAGAATTAGAAGAAACCTTCATGGCCTACATCTTAAATTTCCTGAAATTCTCCCAACAAATTTCCTAACTTCTCCACCTTGGTTAATACCAATTCCCACGATTAATACTAACCTTAGTATATATAAAAAACGTGAGACTATAACAGACCTGATCAAACAATCATTCTTAACAGAAATGGAAACTTATAAAAATCACTATAAAATATACACTGACGCATCCAAATCTTCAGACGGTGTTGGTGCAGCTATCCTTACACCCAATACATCCTTAAAATTTAAATTCAATCCCATTACTTCGTCGTATACTGCGGAGTTGTTTGCAATATTACAAGCACTTATCCACATAAAAGAGACGAAACAGTCCCCGTCTCATAATAACCGATTCACTAAGCTCACTTCACACTATCAAACGTTTATATATCAATAATCCAATTTCCTCACATATCAAATCAGAAATAGAGATTCTAAATAATAAGATCACTGTTGACTTCATGTTTGTTCCATCACATTCAGGTATACAAGCAAATGAAGAAGCAGATGAACTAGCCCGCTTAGCATCCTTCAGCCAGGACTCCATTCTCATTAATGAGGTTCCTTCAGATGACTTTAAGTCAGAAATAAAACATAAAGTGTTAAGTACGTGGCAAAATAAGGGGAGTGCATCACAAAATAAACTCAAAGAAATCAAACAATTAGTGAAACCGTGGCTCCAACCCACAGCGAATAGACACAACCAAGTGAAAATAACACGTTTGCGACTAGGACACAGTAACTTTACACATAAACACCTCTTTACGCGAACTGTGCCGCCAATGTGTGAAACATGTCAAGTAACACTCTCCGTGAAACATATACTAACTCAGTGAAAAAAATTTGAAGCAGTAAGAAAGAAGCACACTATATCAAATAATATAAAGGAAGCCTAGAAAATTAAATACTATGACATTAAAACACATAAGTTAAAGACTCAGGACTATATCATTTATTGTAATTTGTTTCTAACTTTACTTGTATTTTACATTTAGGTCGCTAATAACCCTGGTGGTTACAGCGTAAAAAAAGAGATAAGTTATAAAAGAAGTGTTCAGAAATCACTGTTACTTTAATATTCATTTTGAAGTTTGATTGAAATATTATTAAATTAAAGTTACCAATATGAAATATCCAAGTCTTTTTATCCGGAAATGTAAAAATTTTAAAGCACAAAACAAAAAGAATTTCAACTTACCAACACACTCTCGATTTGTGGTAATCCCCCGTCGGTATTTTTAGGCTGCATACAAATCACTTGACAGTCATCGTCGTCCTTATCGGGCGTAAGCAAATCGAACTTCTTTTTCTTCGTCTGCATTTGTTGAACTTGCTCTGGAGTACGTTTTACTGGTGAATTTTGAGGTCGAATATTATTCTGAGGAGTTGTCATTCGTGGCCTTACAGATCTCACCGCTGTCATTCCAGTTGCACTTCGTGGCCTCACCATGGGAGCCCTAGGTCTCGAGACAGGTTGACGTTGAGCTGAAACAATATTGGATGAAATGAAAAATAGCTTATTTCCACAAAAAAAATTATGCGGTGGTTGTTTGACATTGATCTAGTCCTCGATAGATGGCACTACGTGAAGAAGAATTGCTCAGGTATTTCTAAATCGACAAAAAACAACAAATACTCACCCATGGGAGGTCTTGGCGGATTCGGCATTCTATTAGCAGGTTGTGGTGGTCTCGGAGCTGGCTGTCTAGGGGGCATCGGCTGTCTGTAAGGGGTCGGCTGTTGCTGCATCGGCTGATTCATGTTTTGGGGCTGCGACGAAGGTGGCATTTGATTATGGTTCATCTGAGGTTGATTCATAGGAGGTTGGTTCATGGGCTGTTGATTCATTGGCGGTTGTCCTAATTGCGTTAACTGGGGCTGAGGTGGAGGCGGCATGTGTTGAGGAGGATATCCTGGTGGCCCTGGTGGATAATACATCGGGTTTGGGGGCCTATAAGATGGCCTAACATAATATTTTCAGAACAATTCGGTACAATAAACGATTCTATGAAGTCAATAGTGATATAACATAAATTTGTTAGTGAACTGAATTCCAAAATGACTTAAATTGTTAATATTGATGCATACATAATTAAACATGCATATGGTATTATTCATATTAAATCTAGTTCATCTTCAAAAGAAGGAAATTACTTTATATTGTATCGTCAGTATACTGCGAAAACCAGGTTAATGAAAAATTTTAAAATATTGATTTAAGTATACCAAAATTCTTAGCTTTTTCCGCTCAACATATAGGTAAAACCCAATAAATGATACGACTTACCATTATATAAAACAATATATTGCTACTTACTTCCATAAAATTAAAGTTCTGTTGCATGTAAAACAAAGTAAGCCCACATATATTATTATGCAGGACAACAATATATTTCTACTACTGCATACCTATTTTTTGGCGAATGGATTTAGTGTCTGCAATCATTTAAACACAAACAAACAACAACATACTGCATACCAGATTCAGTAAAAAGGTGATAAGTGTCTTTAATACATGTTACGTGTATGATTTATTAAAATTTCTTTCATATCAACTAGTAAAAACCTTTAAGTACACTTACTTCATTCTACCTGAAAACGGATTGAGTTAAAATTTAGAAATTATTACTAAGCTAAACCAAAAATGATCTTAATGGTATTTTTAATATAATTTATATGCTAATATCTGCTGTGGAGATTTATTTTAGGATTCAGAATACGTGTTTTGTATAATATGGACAGACGTTTTATAACTTAGTAGAAATTAGAAATTATAAAACAAAAAATGAATTCAAGGTCTAAAAGGATTTTATCTAATGTACAGTAATGCAACTTCAAATCTAGATAATGTTAAATTTCTCATAAGAGATCTTTTTTTACACATAAATACATAATCTTAACAATACATAATCAGACTCTCAATACATAAAAATCAATACAGAAAAATAGTGATGGTTACTCACATGTTCATATTAAGGAAAAAGTTAAAAGCTTATGCTAAAATTAAGCAGACTATTAAATAAAATTGCTTGTCTTCTATATTTGTGAATAGGAAGAAAGTTTTTAAATACTTTGTTAATAGGTATTAATTAGTTAGTTGTGCAATATCTGTGTTTTTTAGATTCCTTTGAAACTGAAGACAGCAGTTCAATTCTTGATGATTCTCAGAATCATATAGTCTCAATGATGGAATCCATTTTTAATAGTGACTTTTCAGATGTAGACCCTACATATCAGCCAAGTGAAGAGATATCAGATATCACTCTCTAGGAAGTCTATATGAACTACAAACAGCTGACCTTGATAGCCTAAATGATGAGAAAGAAATATTAAAATAGGTGCACCCACGAACAATTTAGTGTCAACTGAAATAGCTAGTTGGATATTAAATCTACTTCTTGACAAAGTATGGAAAGACGTATGTCCACTAAAACGTTGGAGAAATGCTAACTCCAAAGATTGGGTAATAAATGTCGCAAAAAGGAGGCGTGCTGATGATTTTCATTATGAGATAAAAAACTACGTGCATTTTCCAAAAAAAGTTACTTTTCTTTGAATGGTCAAAACATACAGGTATGTGAGAAATTTTTTTGTAAGACACTTTGTATATCAGAGTCGTTAATACAAGATGTTGTAAGAAAAACTGATATTCTAGGCTGTTATGCAGATACGGATAAAAGAGGCAAGCATACATTGCCAAATAAAACAAGCAGTGAAACCCGAAAAATCGTAAAGACTCATATTGAGTTTTTCCAACCATGGTCCCACATTATATTCGCCAAAGTTCAAAGCGTAGATATTTGCACAAAAATTTAAGTGTAAGGAAAATTTATCAAACTTTAAATAAATAACTGTGACCAGAAGAAACTGGAAGGTGTTAGCGCAATTACATATCGAAGAATATTTTCTAACGACTATAATTTAAGCTTTTTTGTTCCTAAAAAGATCAATGTTTAGTTTGTAATAAATATGATAGGGCTAATTCAACTGACAAATTGGATTTAGAAGACAGTTACAGAGAACATCGGAAAAGAAAAGTATGTAATCTTGAAAAACAAAATTATAAGAAAAGATCTAATGAACAACGGAATTTTGTTTCAAGTACTTTCTGAAATAGGAAGCATTATATTCCACTACTTATCAAAATGTGTTCCAGAATATGTAAGTGAAATAAGTTTATTTTCTGATACATGCGGAGGACAGAATTGTAATCAGCATATTCCAGCCTTACTATTATGGGCTGTTCAAAACATAGACCATCTAAATATTATTAAACACAAAGTTTTAGAGTCTGGACATTCCTATATAGAAGTTGACTCTATGCATATTAGTATCGAAACTGCTAAAAAACACAGATCTATATATGGGATGCTAGATTACTTGTTTGTTTTTCAAAATGCAAGAGGAACTAAAAATATCATGGTTGATGATAAAAACGTATGTATAGAACCATACAAATGTAAAGAATTTAAATACTATGACTTTTATGATTTAAAAAATTTGTCACACTTTTTTTAAAAACCGGACAAAAGACCAAAACGGAGAAAAAAAATAATGTGGTTGAAGATAAAATGAATGAGATTGGTGAAAGGAGAGACAAACAGAATCTATTTTAATTATGATATGTCAACAAACTTCAATTATTTCCTTACTGATACTGCACGGCAGTCAACAATGAAAAAACATGTCAAGTTATCAACTAATATAAGCAATCTTGAAGAACTTAGGCGACTTTATGATGCACATTTGCCAATTAGCATAGCAAAAAAGAGAGATTTGGTACAGCTATGTGATAAGGGAGTGAAACCGGAGGAATATTACAGGTGGTATCGTAACTTAAAAACGGGAAATGATGTAACAGACATCTTGCAAGAGTCTGCTTTCAGTGATGAATCAGATGAGAAAGCCTCATAATAATAATATTATTATTATAATATATAATATTGTTATTATTATATTCGAAATCAATTTGTTTTTTTTTTATAAAACTGCCTATCACTCATATAAACAATAACTATAACTACAAACAGCTGTTAATAAAATTTTAAGGGAAAACCAGATAAATGTCATAAATATCGACTAATACCTTAAAACATTGCTATTACCTAGTAAAAGCCTCATATCTCGATAACAAAACTGGAAAATATTATACTTGGTTTATTATATTTGTGTTAAATGTGTTATTTGAAAAGTAACTGATTTATTTAGATTTACAGGTAAAACCAGGTAAGTGATAATTGCCATTTCCAACTTAAATTTAGGATTAGTCAGATAGGTCTCTCAACTTTTTCAAACTAATGATAGAATATAATTTTAGAATATGCATCTTTCACTAGAACACCTAATATCAAAAACAAGCTCACTACTTAATTGACAAAAAACACTGAACATTAAAAACGTTTTTTCTCGATTTCGGTATGCTGCCATTAACCTGGATTTCGCAGTATACTGACGATATACTCTTTAGAGTATATAATAAAATCTGGTAAATTGCATGAAACAAATTTATTTATAAGTTAACATTTATGGTCAGTTTCACAAATCTTTATTAATTCCACACATATTAATGCTTTCTTATCTTGAAGAACAACATAAATATTTTTAATATAAAAGAGCTATCAGTGGAAATTGACAATAATTTCGTTTAACTGTGTGAAGCATGTGAATATATTCCTGTCCAATAGTGGATGTTCATCAGCTGAGAACACTGTCGATGGCCAGGTCCTCTTTTTTCCTTCTACAATTAGTGTTAAAAGCTCTAAAGCTCTAAAGTAGAGATAAATTTCCTAGATGTGAGGTCTTTCTTAATTGAAGGTTAAGATTAATATTGATTAATGTTAACACTACTGTTTTTTTTCAATTCTTCTCAAAACTTCGGTTATTTGTGACGTAATCCCCCCAGGATATTCACAGCATATATCAGCATATCATCATGATTTCGAATTCCTTACAGCAGTTGATAAATATGAGCCTGTGGCCACTTAGAATAAATCTGTATGATTGTGAAAAAAGTAGCGCTTGACATTTCTAGCCTTGTTATTTTTTCTAGGTTTGGGTCTAGGTTGTCTTTTAATATATCTATTTACTTTAATAAATAGTTTTTTTTCCATATGTACCATATATTTTGACATGTTCCCAAATGAATTCTTTCCTATTGATATGTTGCAGCTTCTGTGATTCCATTTTTTTCGTGATAAGTTCATCTTCTTTGTGTTTTACTCATTTGATTTTGTTTTATTGTCACCATGTTCATTAGATATTCCACATTATCATCACGGATTTGTCTTATTATTGTTTTTTTATTATTATATTTGTCACCTTATGACTCAATGAATAAACAACAAAATGAACTGTTTGCAACAGAGTGAACTGTAAGTATTCAGTTTCCAATAGCATATGGTATTACAGTATGTAAGTCCCACATTGACATTTGTTAAATTTTTTATGGGGTATTAACCAAACAATCATTAATCATTTACTATATAAAAAATCTGAAAGTGAAGTTCAAATAGGTAGATGACAAGCAGGAAATGGTAGTTGGCATGTCAGTCCATTAATGAATCTCATATTGTTTATTACATACTATTTGTATCAACATTTTGTGTCTAATTCTACTAACATCCCCACTAGAAAGATGTCAATATGATACTGGGTATATAACATTTCTCTTTGTTAAAAAGAAGCCAATTCAAATAAATCATTAATAAATATAAATAAAGCGAAATATCCTGTTTTTTTTGAGTGTTAAGTTAAATATCCATACAAAATGTTGTATTTTTTATTGCTGTTGAATGTTTACATCAAATAAGTAAGTATAATAACAATTATTGATGTATGTGTGAACAAGCTACTGTTTAATCAATTATATGGAATACTGTAAAAAAATCACACAATAAAGTGTCATGAAACATAGCCTTAGGGTTATATCTTGTAATATCCACATTGTCTTCTGTTTATCATATTAAATATATTTATACTGCCATTGAAGTTAATGATTCATTAATTTGTTATGGAAGTAAATAGCCTCTCTGAAACCGCCTATTAATATTTTACATACTTACTGGTATTGATATGGTTGTGGCATCGGCTGTGGAGGATATGGATACATAGGAGGTGGTTGATAAGATGGCTGTGGAGGTCCAGATGGAAACTGCTGTATATTTATTAAAACATTTTGCTGGTGTAGCCCATTTGAAGAAGAGGATGATTGTAGTCGAGATACCTGCTGAGCCAAAGCTTGCATAGGCAAACCAGTCAAAGTATCTAGTGCATTCTGATTTTGGTTGTTGGATGGGTTGTACAATTGCTTAAAGTAAAAAAAATAAACAATTACATACAAAATGAATCTCAATAACTTATTAACATACAAAGTACAGATTGTATAAAGAAGGCTTAATTGTTTCTATAAAGAAAGGGATACTTGTTTGACTTTCAAAATATTAATTGTTTTGGAGATAATTGGCATATATAGACAATTGGGAGTGACACCTTATTTGAAAATACCAATATAATCAGGGGTGCCGCAAGGTTCCCATTGTTGCAGTGTTTGATTTTGCTTCGTTTGGTCGAATTGGTGCAATATAAAATTGTACTGTTCTTACGTTTACTGACATTGTAAAACTGCTGTTCTGCTACAGAAAGACCTTAAATCGTTTTATGATTCATGTAGTTTTAACACAATGTCACTTAAGAACACAGACAAATGTCATGGAATGACATTTTTGAGGCAAAGAAAACCTATTGCATTTGTTTACTCTATAAATAACTTGTCATTGGCCTCTAAAAATGAAGTATCAGAATTGGGAATCTAGTTAGACACCAAACTATCATTCTTAAGCCTCATCAATCAAGTAATAAACAGTGCGATGAAAGTACTGAGATTTGTCCAACGCAAATCTTTTGTAAATGGATCCTGTTAATAAATAAATAAAAAATAATGTTTTGCATTGATATTAAATCAATATCCACAAAGAATAATGTTGCTATAACACTTAGACTGATCCGATTCTCATGTCTTTTGTTACAATTGGTAATTATTTTTGTAAAATTTGTATTTTTGAAAAAATATAATATCAATAGTTTATTCTTATCAGTTTGGTATCTTTTGTTTTAGTATTTTTAATAGTTCTCTGGAATTCTCATTATTTGTGCTGAAAATCTAGAAATACTACACATTCTTCTATGTCGAATTTTAGTTTAGTTTTTTTTATTATTTACAGAATCTCGTCCAAATACCTTGTGTTCTTTTCTTCATATTCTATTCTATTATAGATCGTTAGAGCTACTTGTTGATTTGCTTCTTCTTGCTTAATCTTGTTAGCTGTCAAGTTATTATTTCACAATATTTGCACCTCTAGTGTAAACTTATGCATATTAAGATAATGAAGTGAATTGATACTGATTTTAGATTAAGCTACTTGAACTCAGTACATTCCATTCATAGTTAAGTCAAGTTTTTAACCTGTTAAGGCATTTATTTGTTGACCCTTGAACAATTGAAGTGTTTATTAATTATAATTATATCAGCAGATATATCAAATTCTTGTATATTGAATATCCCTATCCTCATAAGTTTTCCTTTAACAATACCAAAGTAGCCTTAGAAGTTAAATAGAATAGTGTAGTACTTTTTATTTAAAAAAATTAAATAACTTACCATAGCCCCTCTATTTCTATCTTCCAGCCTATCGAGGGAAATAAATTCGCTATCACTGGAATGGAAACCCAAGTCTTTTGCACGTTCATTGTTATTAAATAATGACATAATATTGTTGTCATCATGATCTGGTAACTTTAAAGGATCTTCTAAGTTGGAATTAGTTGACCAAAGGTTTGATTGATCAGAGGATTGATCTAAAAGAAGCGAATTTACATAATTAAGATACACGTTATCTATAAAGGAAGTGATACTGGCTTAATATTACAAGTTGTAAAGGAAATGACATTGGTTTAGTATTACAATATTTAAAAATTTTAACTTACTTAAAACAAAAAAAATTGAAGAGTTTGTTTCTGAACGTGGTTTCATTAATATTGTATCAGTAAATTTAATATGAAAAATAAACAGAATTAAAATTCAAAGCAGTTGCAAATAATAACTGTCTAAAATTTAAAGAGAGTACACACAGAACATTAAGTTTTTAATTAATAGGTTATGTTAAAATGACATAAATTAGACAAGGAACTTTCCTTGTCTAAGTAACATAAACATTGAAGTATTCATCGAAAATTATTCAAGAAAAAAAAACAAATAAACAAGTGAGAGATTCCGAATAACTGATATAGTGATTTATGCGGAGATATTTTAAAATAGAAAAAAGTATATAAACAGAATTTTAATGGAACGTATCAAAATTATCATATTTGTCGAATAAATGCAGAGTCGGGACAGAGTCAGAATCAGAGCTGAATACCGTATGCGTAGAAGTCTTTTATTAAAGATTATAAACAGTTCTGTTGATCAACATTGTGTTTTGTCACCGAACAACGTTTTGTGTTCGTGTTTTGTTTCATTATTCATTACAGTATAGTCACAGAATTATTATTCTGTGGTATAGTATCAGCAGAGAATTAAATAACAATGTTTGTTTATTATTCTGTATGATTCTGTGGTATCAGAATATTAGTCAGAATTTGTATAAAAATAGGACGGTTGTCTCCGAAAATTTGTTTATAACTGAAATTTGAATATGTTTCAGGAAAAATCGACATTGAATATTTTCACCGAACTTTCCAGGCCAATCTGAATTTTAAAATTATTCAGCAAAAACCGAAAAAATATTAAAGAGTTCTTTGACTTTTCCTAAAGAAATTTCCAAAACATTATTTCTACAAGTTTGTTTTGCTAATTTTCCTTTCTACCGCTGAAAAAATAATATTAACGCAGACCAACTTTTGATAGGTCAATGCACAGAATAAAAACCAATCAGAATGACAACTCTGCTTGAAAAAATAAGTACGCGCATCTCTTTCGCACAGACGGAATCAGCCATGTTTTAAACGGAGCCAGTGGTGTTCAGTGACATTTTATCTGGTGTGCATAGACAAATTAACCCGGTTTAATTTATTTAAGGCAACTACAGACATATTATGCACTATTTTATTCGTACTTTCACTATTTTTAAAAACTGAAATTACAGTTCTGTCGTAGCTTGTCAAAAATTTCTTAATACGAGTCTATGTTTCCGTCTAAAATATGGCGATCGCGTGCTGACAAACTTCAAAGGCGGCATCAGAGAGTGGGCATTCTGATTGTTATTTATTCTGTGGTCAAGGCAAGTAAAAAAATATTCAGGATAAAAGATCGAGAAATAGGACACTGTTTTCTTCAATTTGAATGGAAGTGGCTGGAAGTTACTATACAACCAAGCACACGTCCTCATAGCCAATATTAATTGTAACTTAAAGTTAAAAAATATTGACATAGAGTTTATTAACAAAGTAAAACGGCATCAATTAAAATAAAGATGTAAATGTTTATTTAAGAAGAGAAGAATAGTAAACAGTAGATAAAAAAGAAAATAAAAAAGTTTTGAAATCGTAATGTAAATTGTTTGTTAATGTAAAATTTGTGAAATGTAATAATATAAAAGATGGACTACGTTGAGCTTAGGTGAACGGAAAAATACGTTCCATTCCATAATAGCGTCTTCCCAACAGATCGGATGAAGTAAACCTAGTCGATAACGTGACTACGCGAAATTACAGTCGCGCTATGGTTTGTCTCTCTCATTGGCCTCGGTACAGCGGTCGTATTTCAGCCGTTTGGGCTTATTGTACATAATAACTTAGTATTCTTCAGTATTCGTGGAAAACGCAAGAACGGATCAATTTATTACTTCTGTTTTTCATATTCTGATAGAACTCAATAATTTATTTATTGAAATCTGTCACAAATATGACATTATTGACATTTTTCTTAAGAAAGAATAAGAAGCACATAGAATTCGAAATAGAGACAGTATTATTTGAATTAAAAAATAAAAAATTCTTTCAACTATCAGAATATAATCGTCGGATAAAAATCAGAGTGTCTGCTCTGAATACAACCGATAAACAAGCATGACCTGATCTGTATCTGCTGCAAAGTTCAACCCGACTATGTTTATACAACACGTTTTCCAAACGGAGATGAAAATCGCCAATGATACGCGAGGAGAGCTTTGTAATATTTGGATTTTAAATTTAAAAACGCGCAACAGGTAATTATCGGTAAAACGAGACACTAATCCAATGATATACTGGACGTGATAAAGATCAAATGAACAAACTACTTATGTATAGAGCCATAAAAAAGCCGATGTAGTAGGAAGGCTTCAATAGAAATGTGACATATGGATTTAAGCGGTAATATATTATGCAGAAAAACATGAGTGAGTCGAAAAAGTGCTTCTATTTGTAACATGAAGAAAAATAAAGCCGAACTCCCAGTTGTTTTGATTCCAACAACAATAAACAAATGTTTATTATGTGCAACAATTAATGTTTATTTATTTGCTCATTTATTAATTTATTACAATCTAATAGACTATTTTATAACAATTTGTGGGCCTTACCTTGTCTGTTTAAACTTTTAAAACTTTTTATACCTTTTTATTTAACTTACTCTTTTTGAAATAAAACTACAGACATGTAATATTGGCATAATTATTGTAATTTACAACATCTACTTTGTTTATCTTTATTAGACAACACCCTAATATGGGTTTTTATCACTTCAGCATTTATTTAACTTTGTATCGAGACTTGAAGATGCTTTGCATATTGTAGAAAGCGAAACCGGTCGTCTGATAGTTAAATTAATTTGATTGTGAGTAAGTCTTATTTATTATTTCTTTACCTATTTGTAATCTTTTAATTTTGCAAACAGGTGTTTTATATTTGGGGTACACGGGTACCTACCCCGGGTACTAATGCTGGGTTAAAAAAATGTATTTTTACTTACTGTAATTTGGATCTCCATTTGGATTATCATCAGTGATCTCTGTAATGGTTAACGGTTCTTTAAGTAAGCCTGTGGTTTTAATTCTGATTTTGGGATATTCCACCGGAGTTGGTTCCGGTGGAGGGGTTGGTTCGGCTCCTGGTACACTGCCATAATCGGAGGTGTTGCTTTCGCTATTCGAACTACCAGTAGGTATGCCATCTGTAGTTGCAGTAGAGGACGTAAAACCACTGTCGCTAGCTGTTGGAGATGCTGAAACAAAAGAACGAAATTATATTTTTTAATATAAAATTTAAATAAACATACATTAATACAATATACCGGGTGGTGAAGCGTCAAACGGGCAATAGGAAACTGAATGGGAAATTCTAAATTCTTGAATTCCTGCTTTCCTAATTATTTTACATCAAAGTCATATGAAACTATTTGTAGACGACTGAAATCTGTATTAAAAATAAATTTAAAAATTGTTCTACGAATTATACGTACTTCAAAATTTTGCAAAATATAATACATTTTTCAGGCAACCCCTAAAATTTTGGCCACACGTAGTGCAAGAATGTGTATGACGTGTTGCGTTTGAACATATTGATGTACGATGTTTGACAATATTTGAATTGTCAATATTTTTATTTTATGATTAAATTATAAACAATAAACTTTACCAACTACTACTACTGAACTATAAATATTACTTTGTAAACAATAAATTATATTGTTTACAAAGCAATTAAGTACTCAGTTAACGAAAAATCGCAATATTGTTGCATTCAGGCAATAGTGCGAGCACTGCCAGATCTGTATTTAACGTACGTTATTCTAAAACACTCCAATTCAATTTCAGGTTATACAACAACTCTGATTCTTATTCCTAAAAATAATTTATGAAAATTTCTATTTCATTTTTAATGCTTCAATATCTGTAAATTTTTGGTTAGAATGGATTTTTAATTTTAGATGCCCCCAGATAAAAATAATCGTTTGGATCTAGATCTCCCGATCTTAGAGGCCTCTTAAGGTTACAGTTAAGTCCAATCAAACAATTATTAAAGCAGTTTTTAAGGAATTCCTTAACCTCCCAGTAATTGTGCGCAGGGCATCCATCCATTTAAAACCAAATTTCTTCCAAAACCAAACCAAAACTTTTTTGAATTTAAATTTTCCTCATAGAAAAATGGTCCAATAAGATTGTGTCTAAATATTCCTAACCAGACATATATTTTTTGACAATATTGGATATAGCAAATCCTATAATTTTAAACATTTGGTTCATTATTTAATGTAAATTGTTTGTCTGCATTAGCCCTCCCTAAGATTTCATAACAAAATTCCGCTTGTCTCTTAGCTTATTCCCTAATCTTAGTTCGTAATGACATTGAATTTTATAAAAACGAAATTTATTTCTTTTCAAAATTTTTGAGGCACTGGAATTATGAATATTAAACTGGTTTGTAATGGTCTGAGAACTTCTTCTAGAATTTACTACTACTGCTGTAAACATACTTATTTTATTTTGATTTTCTAAATTTCTTGGTACCTTAGTAATATTGTTTGTACAAGTACAATTAGAAATAACGGTACCAGCATTTTTAAAATTTTGTAAAATCCTTTCAATTGTTGAATCACTTCAATTGGTCTATTGGGATATCTTACGCTAAATAAAGAACTGAAACTTCGCGCACTATTGCCTGAATAAAACATTTTTATTATTGCTACTTTCTCCTCAACCGAGTAAATTTTTTAATCAACTTTATTGTTTTTTAAACAATCGCAAAATAAAAATTTTGGCAATTCAAATATTGTCAAATATCAGGAACATCAATATGACCAAACGCAACACGTCATACACATTCTTGCACTGCGTGAGGCCTAACTTTTAGGGGTGTCTTGAAAAATGTAATATATTTTTGCAAAATTTTGGAATACATTTAATTCGTTGAACAATTTTAACATTTGTTTTCGATACAGATTTCAGTCCTCCACAAATAGTTGCTCATGACTTTTGGTGTAAAATAATTAGGGAAGCAGGAATTCAACAATTTAGACTTAGACAACAGGTGAGAGTTACCTGTCATCTTTCTTTGCTTGTCTAAGGTTAATAGTGTGAGGTAGGATTTTTTGTGTTGTAGGTTTCCGACTATGAATCTGTCAAAATATTCCCGAGCTGACCGAATGAACTAGAGTGGACTTAACGCTCACCCTGAAGTATTTTGAACTTAAAGTCCCCTTCACAGCTGTTCTATTGGCGACGTGCAAGTACTTGGATGTGATACGAGAAACGATCGTGCGCGAGTAGCGGAGACATCTTGCATTTTTTACTGCAAATTTCATAGATTTCATAAATTCATATTGTCAATTGTCATATTTCATATTCGTTTGTTTATTTACACCTTCTGTCACTGAAGAAAATGGGATTTAGGAAATGCTGTGTTATAAATTGTAAAAATACAACGAAAAATTGTCAATTTAAGTTTTATTCGTTTCCAACTTCGAAGCACAAATTACTACAAAGAGACAAGTGGATTTATATCATAAAAAAGCACATAACCTAAATAATAATAAGTAACATAACCTAAATTATGCATTATTCTTGCGCCCGATTTTAAAGTCAGTTTGAAATAAATAATAAATAAAAGTTCACTTTTAAGTGTAAATTTTAGTTTCTTAACACTCACTTAGAGTTCATTTTAACCCAAAAATCAAGTTTAATGTTTAAATTTTATTTTTTTGAAGTTTACAAAAATGCATCAAGTTCAAGTTTTTCTGAAGATGCATTAATATATATTCGCTGTCCAAAAGTTTACAGGGAAAGAATTAATTGTTCAAACGAATATGATGATATCATGGGCTTAACCTGCTAATTTATGCATTAACATTATTTATTGTAATTTATTTTTCTTAATTCTTCCACATAATTCTTCCATTCTATTTTTGACATTTGCCACTACTAAAGCTATTCCATTTGACTCAGTGCTTGGTTGAAAAGTTATTTGGTGATTTACTTTCTCAAATCCAGTTTTTATTATTGCATCCATATTAACAGTAATGCTGTAATTTAATAATATATTTATTTGTATTTACACTACATACAACGTTTACCTTTTAATAACATACCGACATAACCTCAATCTCACTTTTTCTTCTTATTCTTTTTTGGGGCTACGTCCTTGACAGTTATCCGGTAACCTCGATCTAACATGAAAGCGCAGTAAATTTTGCTGATTTACGACACCAGGTGTCTCTGTTCCGAAGTTGCACGGTCCCAATAGAAATGACGAAGGCTGTTGGAGATACCAAAATGGCTGAGAAATGTAAATGTGGCACATTTGAACATAATTATACAGAGAAGGATCCGCCTCTAGAGAAAAAAAACCTGAATCTTCAAAGAAGAAATCTTAAGTCATTGTTAAAGGTTTATCTACCGACAGGATTGCGACCACCATCAAGTAAGGGCCAGCGTCTAATTGTCGCCCATATTGGCAGCGATACTGGTTTTCTGCAAAATGGAACCTTTTTATAACGAAGAAAATAGGGGATTATCATAAAGGAATGAACTCCATATGTTTCGAGAACGTTCTCTAAGATGTTGATAGTAATACCCAGGGTCTTTCATAGTGTTGGATAATGCAGATTCCAGTCGCCTTGTTGAAGTCATTCCAAGGATGACTGATCGAAAATCCGTCAACAGATTTTTTCCAACTATTTTTTTTATTTTTAATGTTATTTTTTAACTATTAGTAATATTTGTGCAAAAATTTGTTTTTATAAACAACTGATATATTTGTTATTTGGCAATCAACGATCTAAACAAATTATTAAAAACGTTAAGTATTTTAATTGATTTTAATTTAATTTTAATTTATAAAATAAATCTCTCTAACAAAATCAATTTTCGATGATGACAATACCTTAAGGATGTCTTCATGAAACTAATAAAGATTAAAGAATTAAGAATTCGGATAATTTGTGCTGACCAATTTTAATTTGCTATAACACATTGTGAATACCTCTGTGCTTATAGCTGGCCATTGTAAATTACCACATATTATTTTGATTTTTATATTCGTAAGTATTTTATTTACACCTCGTACAATTAGTAGATTCTGTTACATATATGCGTCACCTTTCCCAATTTCTTGTATGTAGGTTCCTCATTTGGCACTCAATCGCTTACAATTTAGAAACTTCTGGTTTATAAAGTTTTAAAACTGAAAAAGAAAAAAAAAAGAGGCCCATAAAAAATCTATCAGGAACGCTACTGATCAAAATAGTTTAATGAACGTTGTGTTGATCATTAAAATATTTTTTAAGAATAAAGATATCGTTGGAAGTATTTTGGCAGCTACAGAAGGTCAATTTTCATTGACAATATCACTCAAATATCTTTCAATCCTAACTTCAGATACTCGACGAGAAAATACAAGCTTGGTCGGTACCGAGAATTTGAACTCTCGCCTCTTCTTGTTCTTGGTCTTTATCGTTCCGTCCTCAATTCCCATTTCGCTTTGGTTCTCTGTCTCAATTCGATTATTCGGTGTTGAGGTAAGGATCGTGAGGAGCACAGCATTACAAGCCGAGTGCATCTCATCGTACTCTCGTTTTGCTTTATTTGCATTCGACGAATTGTGCGAAATACACATTCTATAGTAAATTCTTCAACGTCGTCCACGTTGAACAGACAACCACAACTCTTTACTGTTTAGACCGGGAGAATGGATATTTGTCTCGCTAGAGCAAGTATTAAGATTGCTATTTCAAACTTGTATGGAAAAAATAATAGGCGTTATTAAGAGAAAGTATGGATAACGCTGCCGTGAATAATAAATGTCAGCAGTGCCAGCATCCGGTAAAAAATAGAACCGATATTTCTGACACAGAGGTCAAAAACCTCTCTTCTTGAAATACAACCGCATGCATTTACTGGAGTAATAATTGTGGATAGATAATTCAAGTCTTGATAAATGAAATAGCATTTCGTACAAGTATCGCGAGCAGCGAACTGCGTGGGCAAAACAAAGATATAGAATCCATTATCTTAACCGAAAGCATAATCAGTTTAAATGATTTTTACTGTCATTGGAAATCGTCAGACTGAAAAAAAAGGATTTATATTTTAAAAATTTAAAAATAAAAATGAATTCGTGTGATTATTGGAAATAATTATAATAATTTGAAAGAAAAGAACAAAGAACCGACAAAAATGTCGACAAAAGACAATTATAAATGCTAAAAGAAAGAATAGATCTATTACTATATTAGTGCATCTCCGTTTCCAATCATCGTCTTTAATCAAAAGTCTTCTAAAGCATGTACTCTCCTTCTATCAGAACTTTCTTTCAGTTGTGAGGTATTCTGGTGTTTTAAACATTGCCGAGAACTATTACGTGCAATTTCGAATAAATCTAACCAGGATTGTATTAGCCAAATTTGCAAGTGTTGTGAAATTAAAGTGGCATTTTTTTATTCAGGAGATGTTCCCAAAATACTAAAATAAATATTAAATAATGGCTAAATAATGTTAAACAAATGAATAAATTAAAATAAATTACATTGAAATATATTCAATTTGCCTGAAATCTTATTAAAATGAAATAAATCATCATCCGTTTTGAGTTGACTGCTGGACATAGGCCTCCCGTAAATAATTCCAATTGACGTCCTCAAGAAGGACGACAAGCATCGTGTCTAGGTCTCCATTCCAGAATTTTCTTAGTCCACCTTCCATCTTTTCCATCTGGCAACATGCCCCGCCCAGTTCCATTTCAATATTGTAATCCTTTGAACTGCGTCAGTAACACCAGTTTTTCTCCTAATTATTGTATTTGATACTCTGTCTCTGAGAGATATATTCAGCATTGACCTCTCAATCGCTCTCTGTGCCACTTATATTTTATTGATTATTTTTCTGGTAAGGGTTAATGTTTCTGCTCCATACGTTAGAACTGGGAGTACACATTGATCAAAGACCTTCCTTTTCAAGCACATGGGAATATCTTATCTAAAGACTTCTCTCAGTTTTCTGTAAGCCGCCCATGCCAGTTCTATTCTCCTGTTTAGGTCCGTTGTTTGATTATCTCTTCCTAATTTAATCTCGTGGCTCAGATATTTATAGCTATACACCTGTTCAATTTGCGTGCCGTTGAGATGTTTTTCGCCAGTACAAGGTTGATCATATATTGTGTTTTGGAGAAATTAATTTAAAGTCCAACTCGTGTACACGAGCTCGGAAGGTATTTAAGATACTGGCAGGCATGATTTACCCGGTCAGCAATAAGGACTAAGTCAAACTATGTCAAATCTCAAGTAGTTCAGAAATTCTCCATTTATGTTGACTCCAATATTCTCCCAATTATTGTTTCTCACAGCACCTTCTAAATCTGTGTCTGCATCTTGGGCATCAAACAAATTCTTCCAACCATTTTTTAATGTTTGCTCTTTCACTTCCTCCCATGGTGCAGCAAAATTAAAAATTGTTGATTTTAAATTGTAAGTCCTTAAGTTTTGCAAGGTCCGCTGCGCTCTTGTAGCTTCTGCAATATCTCCATCGTGCAATACAACCATTACTTCGTCTAAAAATTTCTGCGATATATTCGTTTGGTTGCCAAAAGTATACCCTGATCCATGGGTTAAAAAAGCGATGTTGTATTTTTTTGTCAAAAACGAGGTGAACCATCTTCCACTTCTTGGAACTATAATATGAAACGGGCGGATGATGCATTATAGCTTTTAAAACTCTAGGTTTACGAGATTTGCCAACCATTACAGCAGTCAATCTATGCGATCCATCGGCGTTAGCACAAAACAGTGCCGATACCCTGTCTTTGCTGATTTTTCTTCTAGAATTGTGTTTTTCATATTTGGAGGCTTGTGTGCTTTCAGGTAAAGTACACCATAACAAACCAATTTCATCAGCATTGCAAATCTGAGATTCTAATAGCATTTCGTTACTGATATGTTCCACTAATTTTTACCTAAAAAGTTCCATTTCTTCTTTTGGTGCGCTTGAAGCTTGGCCGTAAATACTTTTATTAATGATTCTGTCTTTTGCGAAAGCGTCAGAACCATCCAGCACTTGCTCTGAATGGTATGTCCATCATCATCATCATCATCCAGCCGAATTTTCACATCCATTGTTGGATATAGGCCTCCTTCAAACGTCTCCAGTTTTCTCTATCTCTAGCTGCTGCAATCCAGTTTGTTTCTATTCTCTTTAGGTCGTCGGTCCATCGGGTGGGTGGTCTGCCTCGACTTCGCTTGTCGGCTCTTGGTCTCCACTCCAATAATCTCTTCGTCCATCTTCCGTCTTCCATTCTAGCAACATGTCCAGCCCACCTCCACTTTTGTTTATTGATTCGCAGTATAATATCGTCTACGCCCGTTCGTCGGCGTATCTCCTCATTTCTTACGCGATCTTTCAAGGTCAGGCCCAGCATTGATCTCTCCATTCGCCTTTGTGTTACCCTCAGTTTTTCGGCAGTAGCTTTCGTTAAAGTTAAGGTCTCTGCTCCGTAGGTCAAGACTGGTAAGATGCATTGGTTAAATGCCTTCCTTTTCAGGTGAATTGGGATATTTGTTTTAAAAATGTCTCTCATCCGTCCATATGCCGCCCACCCCAACGTGATTCGTCTATTTAGCTCGCAGGTTTGGTTGTCTCTGGTTATTCTAATTTCATGACCCAAGTATGTGTATTTATCGATTAATTCTACCTTGTTGTTATTGATCTGTATCTCTTCGCTGGGAACCATATTGGTCATCATTTTGGTTTTCTCAAAATTTATCTCCAGCCCAGTTTCTTGTAGTATGTCATTCAGTTCTTGGAGCATGTCTTTGATCTCTCCCAGATTATCTGACAGAAGCACGATATCGTCCGCAAAACGTAGATGGTTTGATCTTTCTCCATCGATGGATATTCCTTTCTGTTGCCATGTTAGTCTTTTAAATGCATACTCGAGAACGGTAATGAACAGCTTTGGTGACATGGTATCACCTTGCCTGACTCCCCTTTTTATCTTTATTTTATTAGTTGCAGAGGTATGTCCATATGATTTGCTAATTTAATTTCAGCAGATTTCAATTCGACTGCCCGGATCGGCACCCCACTGACACATTGTTGGCCGTACCATTTGAAGATTCGTTCTTCCAGTAAAGTTTCAGGAGCCAATTTAATTCGTTTTCTGAGATTGCTGTTTTCTCCTTCATCACAAATTAATGCAAATTTATTTATTTTGCTCTTGTTTTTTATGTCCGAAACAGTTTGCTTTTTTATGCCATATTGATCACATATATGAGACACAGACATTCCAGACACAAACTCCACCTTTTGTAGAATCTCTAGTTTTTGATTGATCGATTTCGACTGTTTTTTTTTTCTGTTTGTCCATATTTAAAGTGTAGGATTGCAAAAAATTTAACTTATTTACTGGCGTACACTAAATGTGTCACAACGAATAAACTAGAACTGCTGTAGAGTGGTGAGTAACCACTGTGGTAATCACCCATATAATCATATAAACCTACGCCTTATTATATCGTAATTAAGAGTAGGTTTTTTTGGCATTTGACCGGATTTTTTGTCTGTTATATCCGAAGTCAGTTAAATAGAGGCGCGTTATATCGAGGTTTTACTGTAATTAGATTAGTTGCCTAATAAACATTTTTGAAAACAAAAAAAAATACGATTTGTATACGAAAATTGTATAACTAGAAAACGAATTAACTATGCTTGTATTATATACGATTCAAAATGAACAAATTTAATAAACAATATTGTTTTTTCTATTTAATCCACTTTGCAATGAAAGTACCAACTAGCTTAATGCCATAAGTTTTTTACCTGTGAGTAAGTACGACCCTGGCATATGTCAGATTCGTCAATAATTACATGAATAACAAGTCTCGAAACATCAATACATTATATGACGTCACAATTCATGACACACTGAAAGAAGGTTCTGAGAAGAACCATCATAATATATCATTTTTCAAAGTAAAACACTTGTACGTCACGATTTATACAAAGTGACGTCACTTGTATTTAAAATTTCCAGAACATCAACCTTAGAGTTCAAATTTTCCTATCACAGCTAATAATACGAAACCCATATGGAATTGCTCGATCTTTCATAGGCGTCAACATGGTGTAATAATCAGAAAAATGTAATCATCATTATATTGGAAATTTTAGAATTATATTGATTAAATAACCAAAAACATTTGTTATTATTAATAATATAAATTTTATGAAATAACTCTTTAAGTCTAATATTCCACACAATACTAATTGAATATATTAGACAATTGTACGCAACTGATACGGAAATACTTCAAAATTTTATTGATAGTTTAGAGATTGGCAAAAGTGTATAAAGTGTTGCCGCTTTTTTAGAGTAAGAAATTTGTTTGTTTTGATTTCTTACACAATTTGATCATATTATAATATATATTAATAATTTGTATTAATAATTACATATTAAGTTTAGATTAATAGCTTTAAAAACTAATTATTGTTGTGTATTGCGATTGTGCTATGCCAAAACAAATAAATAGTCTGTAGAAAGCTCAAAGCTTTCATATGAAATAGATTATTTTAAACAAGAAATAATGGCGGGACGTTTTTACTATTAAAGCCCTAAAAGAGGTAAGTTTAAAATTTAGAATATATAATTTTGTATTAAAATGTTTTCTTATGTATTTTAATGTGTGTAGTATTTTTAAAACTAAGTGTATTTACTGTTAATATAATAGTTTGACAAATAGTTGACATTTTAAAAATTCCTCACTAACTATTCTGATGTTTTGGCAACGCTGTGGGGTTCTGACGACGTAAATCTTGAATGACGTGCAAGCTTTTTTATGTGAAAAATACTATACATCCTTTTGCTGACTTCACTCATAAATAAATAACTTTATCAACATTATTCTATTTAGGCATTAATAGCTTTGGCTTTACTTACCACCACGAATTAGTTCCTCGACAGCTGCAAAGCTTGGGGACAAAACTAAATCATCCCGGGCTCCTCGATGATCATGTCGTCATCAGCGGTTTGCTCAGGTGTCTTGGAAGGAGTGGGCTGCACGGGAGGCTTTTGAGCATGCTCAGGTTGGGGAAGATCCTCGCTGTCAATTTCTTCTTTTATCACTGCCAGATTGGAAGCCGGTGATTTGTCTTCTGTATCTGAATTACTGAGCTTTGGGCTCTGTCGCTGAAACAAAATAAATACGTGACAATGATAATACAGAATAAAAAGTATGTTATAATGTGAAATTTAAGGAAATTCTATAAAATTATCACTACAAAAATGTTTTATTCTAGATAGATATATCAACTAATTGTTATCGTGAATAGTCAGTTCCCGTGTATAAAATTTATTATATGGACATATTTGGCGAAATTGGCGCGACTTACATAAACATTATTCTTGTTTGAAGAATATCTTCTTTCCTTAAGATTTATAAGGTAGTGTTCTTCATTTTTAACAGAGGAATCTCCCATTTTAACGCAAATTATATGTTGTTATGCAAGATTTATGTCAATTTCCTCACTCTCATCCACTTGATAGTATTAACATTGTCAATACTGTCAATATCATATTTATGTTAATATGTATTGTCAAAAGTTTCTGGTCTTGATATACACTTATAAAAAATGTTCGTGACAGTCAGTTAATATTGACAATAATGACAATTAAATAAAAACAAGACAAAATACCCAAATAAAAAAAGCTAAAACTTCAAAGCATTCTATCTGAAAAGCAACAGTTCAGATAGAGTGATCGAATAGGGCGGTTTGCGCCTTTACTGAAATCCACCGGTTTGCGCTTTTCATAATAGAAATATCTAACTACTATAATTTCCTTAATCGGTCGATTTGCGCTCTCTTGCAATATAATTTTAATTTCATTTTACAATAATAGTCTGGTGAACCTGCAATGAACAAACTAGCATGTCAAATAAACATAAACATATTTTTCCTTTAGATTTGAAAAAAATGTCAAATCAAAACTAACAAAATTATTAAATTTTTCTAATACTGTCGAACAACAGAGTGTTCTTTAATCTTTAATACCTCTGTTTATAATCCTTATACCTGGAAGTTAATTGTTTAGATATAATTAGCAACTAGAATTCCCAAAAAGAGATATCGCTGAAACTAACTTTCCTTTCTACCTGATAGTGCGAACTGGTAACTACTTAAGTCATTAATAAAGGATATGGTAACAGAAAAATTACCTGAAAATTCTACGTGATAATGACCATATTGATGGTCAATCATTTCTATTGCGTTCTTTGAGATAGTAGGATCAAGAATTATTGTGTATCAGAGTGAGTCAGTGTGAGTTAGTGATTTAAAAATGGATGTGCAAATTATTGACACTTCGAAGGGAAAACCATATGCAGTGTATAAAGGATACAGTTTTCATATGAAAAATACAAATAAAGATGGTTCGGTTTTTTGGAGTTGTTTGAAAGAGAAAACTAAAAAATGTCGAGGACACATAATTATAGATAATAAAACAATAATTAAGGTAGCCAAACATCTGTGTAAGCCGAGTGTTGCAACGACAGAAGTGAAGCAGTGTGTCTTCAATGCCCGAAGAAGAGTTAGGGAAGACAATAGTTATTTGTTGATGTCAAAAATATATCAAGATGAATTTCAAAGATTATATAGTCAAGGACTGGATTTCGTTACAGACATCCCAAAATTCTCTTCAGTGAAAAGTGGTTTAAACGATTGTAAAAAACTTACGTGTGGGCTGCTGACAGATCCAGCGGCAGCATCCGAAATAGTATTTCCAGAAGAAATTATTACAATGAGCGACAAAACGAAATTTTTATTTATCGACAAGACCACTTCCTCGGGATACAGAATCTTGGTGATTGCCAGCAACAAAGCTAGGGAGATTTTGGTTAACACTAAGGACACTGTATTTATGGATGAAACATTCAAAAGCTGCAGTAAACAATTTAGTCGAATATATACCGTTCATATCGATATTAGTAGTATGTCAGAGGAGACAAATACAATTTCATTGATATTTGCGATATTTGCTAACAAAACCCCAAAGAGACATACGATATGTTATTTTCATCAATGAAAGAGAAACTACCAAATTGGAAACCATCTCTTATAAAACTGGATTTTGAACAGGCAGTGATTGGTGCCTTAGAAAATTATTTTCCCGAAGCCAAAATTTCTTGTAATTTTCATTTCAATCAATGTATATGGAAAAATGTTCAAAATATTGGACTTGTTTCTGAATACACTGACAACGAAGAGATACGTTTGCACATAAGAATGTGTACTGCGTTAGCGTATCTACCCACAGAAGATATTGATGATGGCTGGTTATGCATTCAAGAAACCTCTTCTATTTCTGAAAAAAATGGAACAGTTTTATGACTACTTTGTCAAACAATGGTTAGAAAATACTTACATTACCAAGGAAATGTGGAATTGCCATGATGAAAGACATCGCAGTAATAACGTTTTAGAAGGTTGGAATCATCGTCTGAATACATTAATAATACCACATCCCAATGTATCCAATTCGTGAAGTACCTGGTTAAAGAAGCAGAATATTGTGATTACCTTTATGATCGATTTACTTTCAATCTAGAAGGAAAGCGGCGCAAGAAAACATATATTAATCTAGATGAAAGAATATCCAGAACTTTACAGAAATATAAAGATACAAGGGACTTAAGGTTGTGTTTAAGGACATTGGCATATATCCAGAAGCTGCAATAAATAGACAATTTTTTATTCCCAAGAATTTTTTGTATTTTACTGTATAAAAAGTTGAAAAAAAAACAAAAAAAAATTAACGAATTAAAAAAAAAACGAAAAAAATTAAAAAATAAAAAAACATCTTCTAAACACGCCAATGTTTATATTATGACAGTCCTAAGCCCGAATGAAAGTGTGAAGGGAAGAAGCATGTAATACTAATAGCAGTGGCAGCCGGTCAGGGTCGGCAGTGCCGACCGACACCTTTATGGATATTAAAGATTTTTTCAATATTTAATTTAATCAGTATTTCAATAAATAATTGTGACAGGTAATCAGTTGATGTCGTTTGTTTTTGTGAAATAAAAAAATATATGTGAGATAATAAAGACTAAATTTTATTCATGGTTTTTAAAAGCATTCGGCCAATTCGACCAGACTAATTTTTTTTCATGGTTTTTAAAAGAATTCGTCCAATCTGAGCGTTAAGTGATCCCTGCGTAGACACTTTTCAAATTGATGATCCGATATCGGAGACATCCATCCGCCTGTGAATTCTTAAAAAGGCACGTTTTGTTTTTTCGGTAAGCCGATCCCAACCTTGACGATTTACTTAATCGTAAAAATCAACGGAATATTAGTTGATTAGCAACCAAATATACATTTCTTTCCATATGAACTTAATTACCAAGTACAGCAAATTTAAATTTGCCGATGTTTCATTTGGATTGGTGAATTCTTATATGAAATGTTATTTCATATAAGAACGTAAGTAATAAAGTGAAGTGATATTCAGTGCACGAACTAGCCTTTCTTTAAAAAAACGAAGTTTTTTTTAAATTAAAGTGAAAACAAATTCAGGTAAATTAACCTAAAAAATGCAAGGACATGGAAAAAACTGTAAGTATTGATAAGTCTGATATTGTAAATTATATTTTACATAATGAGTTTTCATCTATTCCATACGAAGAACAAATTGTTATTAAAAATAAGGGGCGCCCTTTGCCTAAAATGTCCCGGCTTATAAATATTAGTGCGGGGAAGGGAAGTAATAGATCATTTTCAGATAATTGGTACAGCAGGTACTTATGGCTTACCGGGAGTGAAATAAAAAACAAACTTTTCTGTTGGCCTTGCATTTTATTTTCGACAAATAGGGGCAAACATCAAAATCCGTGGTGTGAATCTGGTTACGATAATTTAAAGGAATTGTTTACATAAACATGATATTTCGAAAGATCATACTTACAGCCAGAATAAATTAGATTTATTTGGAAAACAAAATATCTATGTTTCATTAAATAATGTCCAACGTGAAAATGCTATTAAACATAACGAACTTTTAAAAAATAATCACGCAGTTTTACGTCGTTTAATTGATATTGTAATTTTTTAAGTTGTCAGGAATTATCTTTTAGGGGACACGATGAATTGGAGCATTCGTTAAATCAAGGTATTTATAGAGAACTAATAAAAAATGTTTAAGAAATACGATTTGGAATTTTCTAATTTACTTTCTGATTCGAAGACATTTAGCGGTGTATCTAAAACAATCCAAAATGAATTAATAGAATTAATTACTTAGTTACATTTTGAGTAACGTTATTGAATCTGAGAGTCAGGAAACCATTTGCTTTTCACTAGAAGTAGATGAAACTACCGACATATCACGTCATTCACAATTATCAATTGTTGTTCGATACGCGTTACGTGGTAATATCTATGAGAGGTTTTTAGGTTTTACAGACGTGAGTAAAGGCCATAAGGCAGAATATATTTTTGGTGTTTTAAAGGACAGATTAAAATTTTTTGATATCAAAAATAAATTGGTAAGGCAAACTTATGACGGCGCTGCCGTGATGTCTGGTGAATAAAATGGTATTGCACCGCAAGCTTTATTTACTCACTGTCATGCGCATATAATGAATTTAGTTTTGCAGGATACATGTAAAAAAATTAAAAAATGTCGTCTTTTTTTTGCCAGTTTAAGCGGATTTGCTTCATTTTTCTCAAGCTCGCCTAAACGGACTAATGTTTTAGAACGATTTGTTTAAAAAAATGCCAATAGTTTGTCAGACGCGATGGAATTTTAAATCTCGGTTAGTTTTCACTGTAGCAGATTTTCGTGAACAGCTTTTGAAAGTTTTTGATTTTATTATTGAATGTGACGATTTTGAAAGTGATGATATCTCGATCCGTGAAGCAATCGGTTTGAAAACTTTATTAAATGATTACTCTTTAACATACTTTTAAATATTTTTAAGAAAGTGTTTACCCAAACCGATTTGATATTCAATGTTGTTCAAAATCAGTTAACTGACATTATTAATTCCAAAAATAGAATAACAAGACTGGTGCAAAATCTCAGAGATTTTCGTAATGATAGTAATTTCCAGTATATACGCAGTGACGTTTTGAACTCGCTTGATATTTCCGAACCCCCCAAAAAAAAGACAAAGGCATGACACAGAAACAGATCTCGAAAAACGAGTACATTTTAAAATTTTGGATACTATTATTATGCAAATAGATACTCGTTTTTCGAATTTTGAAGATTTGCAAATTTTTGACCTCTTTGACGATTCAAAATTTAAAAGTTACGCCAAAGAATTTCCAAGATATTTATTAGACAGGTTAATTAAAAATTATCCATCATTATTTAATAAAATAAAATTAGAAAATGAATTAAAAGTTTTATATGCTGATCCAAATATTTTCGGAAGATGGGATAAATTACAAGATATGTATAATTTTATATACTGCAATTCATTACAACAAACTGTTACCGAAATTAATAAATTATTGTCATTAATTCTCTCATTACCACCAACGTCTGCCTCAAATGAACGAGATTTCTCTTGCCTCAAAAGAATCAAAACGTATTGTCGAAATACCATGAAACAAGAGACAATGTCAAGCTTGTCTCAAATGTCAATAGAAAAAAAAAAAAAAACTTTTAAAATCTCTCCAAAACTCTAATAAATTTTACGATGACGTTATTACCCATTTTGTTACTTCCAAACAACGTAGACTAGAGTTAATTTATAAACATGTTTAGGTTCTAAATTTATAGAAAAAAAAAACAAAAAATCTCCTATGATGATTTAAGTCTTTATTAGACGGTATACTTATCTGAGGAGACAAAAAATACATTGCCGACCTTGTCTCTCAAGCCACGAGCCGCCACTGACTAATAGGTCAGTATCTGTGATTTTCTCCTTCATGCGACTTGAAGGTTGGTTAGTTTTCAAACACAGTTTTCAAAGAATGGTGGAGCTACCACAATATTATTAGGTTGGTGGCCCCAGACCAGACTTCGATTTTACTATTTACCATTTTGTTGTCGAGATTTTTTAAGTGCACCATGCATAAAAAGACACTTACCTGTGGCGAACTAACGATTTCAAAGCTGTTATCACTCTTACTTTTAAGAGTGATTTTTAGAGGTGGCAACTGAATGCGTTCCAGGACTATACTGGGTTGTCTAATGTGGTGAAAAAGATGCGCGTACAAATAATGCTTACTGGTAAAATTTACGCAGCAATCATTACACCGAAGAGAAACAAACTCTTCGTCAGAATCTGAAAAAGATACATTAGGATTAGCTACTTTGATGATTCTATAAACAAAAATAATTTGAATGAACATTTTGAAAGTAAATTAGTAATAGCAGAAGATATCTTAGATACGAGAATAACGTTATGTTGCTCTGTTTTCGAAACATCAATATTTCATACTGATGATTCTTGCGAGCATTTCTGGATCGTTTTTGGTGTTTTGTTGTTCCCTTTTTTAACCTTCGACCGGGCGCGCCGCAGTAATTTGCTGCATAAACTCAATGCTTCCAGGTAAAGTGTTAACGGGATATGCTATGTACGTGATCTTTTTAAAATTCCCTTATCGGTTAATCCTCAGTTGATACGAATTATCGTAGGTTAGTTATCGTACTTTGCTGTAAATAGTGCATCAAGACAGACAATTGCTGAAGCCGCTAATTGGCAAGTAATTTATTTATAAAAATTAATAATTTATATACAGAGTGGCCCAAGAGTCTGGAAACGGCCAATTATCTCGTAAATTGTTAGTTGTAATTGTACAAAATTTAAGGTACACCTATTTTGGGATACGGAGATTCCAGATTTGCCGTTCCTCTTATATTATTGGTAACTTTTGTTTTTCCAATTTATCATCCTGTATATTCAGTCATTATTGGAATCTCCTATGCAATACGAGTTCAACCATATGTAACACTTATTAATTTATGTAGATTTAAAGATCTTACATACATAAAACATAAAGTCTTCTTCTTAGAGTGCAGTCTCCCTACGGAGGTTGGCAATCATAATGGCTATTTTTATTTTAGAACTTGCTGCTCTAAACAAATCAATCGATCTGTATTGGTACCAATCACGTAGATTCTTTAACCATGAGTTCTGCCTTCGGCCAACAGATCTTCTTCCTTGAATCTTTCCCTGTATTATCAGTCTCAAAATTTCATATTGTGGTCCCCTCATCACGTGGCCTAGGTATTCCAGTTTTCTGGTTTGTATAGTGGTGATTAGTTCTGTTTCTTTACCAACCCTCTCCAGTACTTCTTTATTTGTAATTCTATCAGTCCATGATATTTTCAATACTCTGCGGTATAACCAGAGTTCGAAGGCCCCGATTCTTTTTAAATTACATTTTTTTTAATGTCCAAGTCTCAGCTCCGTCTCAAGTCGGTCAGATAGCTCAGCGGGCTGTGCGGCTGCCTCTCATTCGCTTCACTGTCGAATGGTTCAGTGGATGTGGGTTCGAGCCCCAGCTCGGTGTACTGAAAACAAAAAGTCTAACGCAGCAGTTTAAAATTCTAGATGAATCTGCGGCTTAGACTAGGATATGCTGGGATCTGATCGGCCTATGGTGGAGCAGTACGGCAAGAGATAAGGGCTTGCGGCTTGGTGATACTCCTCCATAGATCCCTACCGGACGGGCGTAACGCCTAAAAAAAACCGGATATATATATAAGTCTCAGCTCCATATAATAATATTGAAAATATATAACAGCGAATGGTACGTAGTCTGATCTCCAAATTTAAGATTTTTGCACGTTAGGAGTGGCTTCATTCGTATAAATGCTGATCTGGCAATCTCTATTCGTCTGTTTATTTCTACAGTATGATCATTGGTTTCATTGATCAAAGTTCCCAAATACTGATATTTTTCTACTTGTTCTATCACGTTACCATTTATTGTCAATAGGTGATGTATATTTTGTGGCCTTTTTGTAATCAGCATGTACTTCGTTTTTTTGGCGTTTATAGTAATTCCCATCTCAGCACTATTTATACTCAAGCTTTCGATAAGATGTTGTAGATCCTCTATACTCGTTGCTATGATCACAGTGTCGTCTGCATATCTTAAATTATTAATTAATTTTCCGTTAACGGTGACTCCCGCTTCGATATTATTGAGCGTGTTTTGGAAAATTTCTTCAGAATATAAGTTAAACAAAAGTGGTGATAACACACATCCCTGTCTAACTCCTCTACAGATCCTCATTTCTTCTGAGTGTTGCCCATCAATTTGAACTATGGCACTTTGGTTCCAATATAATGTTTGCACTATATTTATGATTTTACTGTCAATGCGCTTGTTCATAAGTATTGATATTAGTTTTTCATGTCTTACTTTATCGAAAGCTTTTTCGTAGTCAACGAAGCACAAGTGTAGATCAACATTCACATCCCGACATCGCTGAATTAATATGTTGATGGCAAATAGTCCTTCTCGAGTACCCATTCCATTTCGGAACCCGAACTGCGTCTCGCTAATATCCTCCTCTAGCCTTTCGTATATTCTCTTATGTATTATTTTTAGCAGAACTTTTAAAGTATGACTCATGAGGCTCAGTGTTCGATAATCAGAGCACTCTTTTGCTGCTTGTTTTTTAGGGATGGTTATAAATGCTGACTTTAGCCACTCCTGTGGTATTATTCCCGTATCGTACACCGTGTTGAATAAATCTGCCAATACTTCCAAGTTGTCCTCTTCCACTAGTTTTAAGAGTTCTACTGGTATTTTATCTAATCCAGCTGCCTTATTGTCTTTAGAGTTTTTGATAGCATATTTGATTTCATCTATCGTGATATTCTGTATCTCTAAAGGATTTAATTCTTGTATTTTCTGCATTTCACCTCTTTCATCTTGGAAAAGTTCTCTAACGTACTCCTCCCATCGCCTTAACTTCTCTGGTAAATCTACTAGTAGTACTCCTTTTTTGTCTTTTATCTGTCCTTGCTGTCTATTTCGACCCATTCCAGTCACTTCTCTAATTTTTTGTGCATATTTCTCATATCATATTTTGTTTCTAGTTCTTCTATCTCTTTACATTGCTTCATCAAATAGATTTCCTTAGCTGTTTTGATTTTTTCCTTAATTATTCGTTGTATTTCTTTATACTTCTGTAGATCTTTTCCTTTATATTTCCTTCTTTCTTCCATCAGTAATAGTATTTCTTCTGTCATCCAGTGTTTTTTAGCCTCTGATTTATGTTCTATTAAACTTTCTTGAGCTGGTTTCAGTAATGAGTTTTTTATATTACACCACTTTTTATTTACATCCATAATTTGTTTGTTGTCAGTTAGTGTTTTTTGCATATTAACATTCACATTATTTTTTATTTCGTTTTTTATTTCTTCGTTTTGTAGCATTCTTACGTTAATTTTTGGTTGTTGTTTTCTGAGTTCAATTCTTTTTAATTTTATTTTCACGTCAGCCACTAGCGGATTGTGGTCTGAGTTAACATCTGCTCCAGGATAAGTTTTAACTGAGGTTATAGAGTTTTTATATCTGCTATTTACGAGTATAAAGTCTATCTGGTTTCTGACAATGTGGTTTTCTGTATGTGAAGGAGACGTCCATGTATATAGTCTTCTTTTAGGAAGCTGAAACCAAGTATTAGCAATTACCATATTCTTTTCTTGGCAGAATTCTATGAGCCTTTCTCCTCTCTCGTTTCTAGTTCCTAGTCCAAACTGTCCAACTATATTTTCAACTGTACCTACTCCAATTTTTGCATTAAAATCTCCTAAAATGTAAGTAATATCTCTAGATTTTGTTAACTTGATTGTATTGTGCAATTCTAAATAAAAGTTTTCGATCTCATCTTCGGTCTTATCAGCAGTGGGAGCGTAAACTTGGATCATATTAATATTACAGTTCCGTGCTTGAATTTTTAGCATTATTATTCTTTCTGAGATTTGAATTACACCTAACACTGATTTTTTAATAGTGTTGCTTATGATAAAAGCTACAGTATAAACTAACATAAAGTCTACATAAACTAACATAAAGCTAACATAAAGTCTAGCAACGCCTAATTATCTCAATAAATTTTTTATTACTATTTTTAACTACATTAAAATGTAACAATTGATAGATTACAACATTTTTTAACATAATGGTTACTTTATCAAGTGTTCAAAATGTGCTCCATGTGAGTTGACAGTACCATAATCGATGGTAGAATGCGTCTATCACATTTTCCATGATTGTTTAGAAATTATTCGAGATTCATCGATATTTCGTTGCCTTAGTTCTGCAAGACTTGCTGGTTTAGTTTTGTAAACTGAATTTTTCAAGTATCCCGAATAAAACTAATATTTAGGATTGAAATCAGGTAAACGTGGAGGACATTCAATTCTACCTCGTCTACCAATCCATCGTCCGGGAAATACCTCTTCTAAATAACGCCGAACATTTACACCAAACTTTGTAAAATTATGACAAGCAATTTATAATTTACAAATTACGAATTAAGAATTACGAGTGTACTAGATAGTTACCGATTATACGGAAAAAAGTTATGAATGACAACAAAACTAGATATAATGCAAAGTTTGGTTGAAGATCCACATACATGCTCACGCAGGGTTCCACAAGTACATGATGTAGGTCGTTCTTCAGTCTTAGGTGTATTACATAAGAATATTTTTAAACGATACAAAATTAACTTATTTCAAGAATTAATTGAGGATAACTTCGATCATAGATTAGAGTTTACTGAGGTAATAATGGATAAAATGGAAAAGGATAAAAATTTCTTTAACAGAATATGTTTTTCCGATGAAGCAACCTTTACACTGTGTGGAAGTGTAAATCGATACAAATTAAGGTACTAAAATGACGTAAATCCACACTGGATCAGGTATAGTATAGTAGGTCTATATAGTAGCACTATAATATAGTGGTCAGGAATAGTAAGTACTCAGTTAATTGGACCATTTTTATCGAAGGAAATTTAACTTAAGATAGTTACGAAATGTTACTTAGAAATGAAATTGTACCTACACTCATAAACTTGTTTGGTGCCAATTTTAATCAGACATGGGCAAGATGGAGCTCCATCTTATTTTGGAATAAATGCTCGGGGTTATTTAGAAGAGATATTTCCAGGACAATGGATCGGTAGACGAGGTAGAATTGAATGGTCTCCACGTTCACCTGATTTCAATCCTAAATATTATTTTTACTTGAAAATATTCTTGATACTTGGGGATACTTGAAAAATTCAGTTTACAAAACTAAACTAGCAAGTCTTG